CAACAGCGAGGAGATGACGATTATGCTGGACTCATCTGTGGCACAGGAATTCCAGCAGAGCCAGGCCCAAGATGGGCCCATGTCGTCACCTATCGATGACGGAAGCCCTGTCGAAGAGATGACATCTACAAGATCGTCAGGTATATGGCATCGCCGGGTGGGCGAGGAGACGCTCAGCTTTTCGGCACTCTCTGACAGGCGAAGCTCGAGGAGAGGGCCTCCTCCCCATCCCTTGGTCCTGGGTGACAGGCCGACACAGGCCAAGCAGGCGTCCATGGTCCAGGCTGAAGAGCTCTCGCCACTGCCATCTCCCGACGAGGCCTTGAAGATGATACAGGCCCAGCTGAAGAAGTATGAGCAGGCGGACCGGGGTGGCACTGTTGTCGAGAGCCCTGGCCGACAGGCACTTTTGAACGATCTCGAGGCGGAGATGGGCATGCAGGAGACACGATGGCTTGGTATGCAGCACGAGTTCTCGAGGGATTCACTCTCTACGCTCGGTATGTCTCCCACGGCTGAGTCTCGTCGCACGTCTGCCGCTGCTTCTGTGGCTCCCGTTACTGCTGCTGCTGAGCCGTCCTCTGTGGAGATGTTCTTGTCTAGGAACTCGTCTACTCGGTCGAATGCCGTCTCAGACTGGAGAGCTTTACGTCGCACGCGTCTGGCAAGCCTCATCGTGTCGGAAAGGTCCTCTGTCAACTCGATGGAGGGCGTCCCTCCCGGAAGCCGCGCCACGTTGTGGCAGAAGAAGCTCGCTGAGGCCCATCAGGAGTTCATGCAGACCACACGTGACCTTGGCGGCATGATGCCGTCCTCCAGCAACAGCAACAGGAACTTCTTAACCCTCTCGTCTCAACTGGGCAGTCCAACACCACCAGACTCGGATGATTCCGAGACGGAGATGGCAAGAGCTAGCGGCAGCGACTTTGTGGCCGCCCTGCGAGCTCGTATCCAAAGGGATCACTTGAAGGCTGCAAAATGGTATCTATGGAGAGCACCAGAAGCGCCAGAAGTCCGTGAAGGCCTGATGTGGGTGAGACCCGAGAAGCCATACTATGTGCCTGTGAAAGAGCCAAGCCTGCCTGGCCTCTCTGTTCGTCCTCCAAGAAGGAGAGACAACACTGCCTTGACTATCCACAGCGATCATCTCTGGCAGAAGCCTGTCTCGGATGGGACCTCTCTTGCCTGGGGGCTCTGGGGCTCTGTACCTATATCTCGGGCTCAGGAGCCAGAAGGAGAAGAACCCGCTGAGCTTCCATCACAGCCAGAAGAGCAAGAAGAACAAGCCCTCAGCTTTTACAAGCCCGGCATCCAGCGCTCGCGGACCTTCTCTAACTCTCGCCCGCTGACCCAACGCCCGCCGCGCCGCAGCAGGAGATTCACAACTCTGCCAGACATTCTTGAGGACCCTCAGCCTCTGCCCAACAAGCGCGACACACTGGGTATTTTCCAATTTCCCTGGGGCGAGAAATCCGACCTCCCAGCTGTTCCGCCACGACCCGTATTCATGGCCATGCCTGGAACAATGTCCACTGGGGCCTCATCGGTCCGAAAGATGCAGGAGTTGAGGTCCAGGCAGCTGGAAGAGTCCGAGTACTCGTCGTCCTTCTTCGATGATTACGATGATGAGGACGAGAGAGATGATGATTCCAGCTCCATGGGTTCAGAGAGCGACGATGGCTTCGACGAGACGACACTGTTTGAGATTGCCACGCTTCTCAAGACAGATGATGTACCCTCCACGAACAGCTTCTTTGGATCGGCTCGTGACGACATCGCCAGCAACATAGACGGAAGGATGGTAACAGATGACTATTACAATGAAGAGCGCAGCGGCAACGCTGAACACTCTGACCTCGTCCAAGGGACCCTCATCGGTATTGAAGAGGGGGATGATGAGCTTCAGGAGATGCCATCGCCATTGCCGCCAGTAAAGCTAGAGAGGCCAGCCTCGCTATGGCAAGCGTCATCGTCACGGGAGGAGGAGCGTGGTGTTCACGACAAGGGACTTCCGCAGCCAGAGGACTGGCACACACACGACCAGACAACTGAGACGGTCCGCGCTAGACCTCGCCTCTCTGCGCAGCCTGCTGCTATCGCAAGCGACAGCAACCTGTGGGCAGTTCCGAACCTGAAGATCAACAACGCCTCTGAGTCGCAAATGTGGTCTCTCGAGCCACCTTCGTCGTCATCGGAATTCTCAGAGGTACACACGCCTGAGGAGGTTGATGATTCGCCCCAGACCACTTTAGAGAGCAGCCTACCGCTCTGGCAATGGCACCCACAAACTCAAAGAGGCGAATCTGGCGTGGGCCTGCCTCATCCTCGGGACTGGGAAAGTTATGATATCGTGAAGCTCACTGCTCGAGCAAAGCCCCGAAGGTCTGAGGAGCCTGCTACTATTGAAAGCATCCATCTCTGGACAGCCGCAGCACCAGACCTGTCTCGGTCGCCGTCCCAGATGTGGGCTCCCAAGGCCACGTCCGCCGCCGCGACGACAAAAAGTACTGCACCTCTCGTCAGGCAGCCTTCTCTCATGCTCTGGTCGGCTCCAGTCTCTCCGAAGCACACGTCGAGCTCAGTAGCGCTGTTTGATCTTGGATCTGGCCGAACAGAGTTCAGAACTACGACTGAAGCACCTGCCGCTCTTGTCATGGAGCGAAAGCCTCGGTCGCCAGCGAGACAGCCTCTGGATCGTCTCGCTTCGATGACACTCTGGACGACCTCATCATCGTCTGGCTCCACAGACAGAACAGAGAGGAACTGGTTGGCGTCCAGAAGCAGCCACCCAACAACTTCGAGGCAGCTTCTCTGGTCTGCCGCCCCTGCTACTCAGGAATCGGCCACTTCTGGCTTGTTCAATCCCAAGTCCGGTCGATCTGACTTCAGAACCACAGTCCAGCCCCCCGCTGCGATCCAGGTCAACCGTAAGCCTCGTTTGACGGAGACATTGCCACTTACACAGCTTACCTCGACGGCATTCTGGGCTGCGAACGCTGTTGTTGCTCAGCCACAGCGCAACTGGTTGTTCTCGACAAGAAGCAGCAGTAGCAGCCCCAAACAGCTCCTCTGGTCCGCCCCTCCTACAGCTGAGGACTCAAGCAAGCCTCTTGGGTTGTTTGATACAGAGTCAGGTCGATCCAATTTCAGAACCACCGCCCAGGATCCTGCGGCCCTTCACATCAACCGCAAGCCTCGCTCGCTCGAGAGGAAGCCCCTAGAGCAGTTGACATCTACCACACTCTGGGCTGCGTGTGCAGAGGTCGAACCTGCGCGGAACTGGATCCTTCCTGTGGGGCCTGTCCGAAGAGAAGCCAAGGCTGTGTCTGTCGGGCAGTGGCAGGCCGCTCTTGAGGAGGCCATCATTGCTAGCTACCCTGTCCGCCCAGCAGCGGCAGTGGCAGTAGCATCTCACAAGAAGTCCCTCCAGGCTTCTCCTGCAGACTGGGCTGCGGCCTTGACTGAAGCCATCGCCAAGAGTTACCATGGTGTCAAGCCTTCCTTTGATGCGTCTAAGAGGCACCCGGTCTTTGCCGCGACATCGTTGACCTCGAAGGCTTCCATTATTCATCCTGCTGCTACGGGGTATACGGGTGACGTTGCAATAATGCACCCTGTCTTCTTCGGCTCAGGTGCAGGCAAGATTGCACACCCTGCTGTGCCCGTACATAAAGCCATCGCCACGTCCTTCGATGCATCCAAGAGGCACCCTGTCTTTGCCGCATCATCGTTGACCTCGAAGGCTTCCGTTATTCATCCTGCTGCCACAGGATATACAAGTGACATTGCAGCAGTGCATCCTGTCTTCTTCGGTTCAGGTGCAGGCAAGATGGCACATCCTGCTGTGCCCGTGAAGAACGGTAATGACGCTGCACTCTCCTCATCATCATCGCTGCACGTCAGAACGACAAGCACTCAGTCTGTTACGACAAGCTTTTCTCCCCTCAGTGATGTCCCGAGCACGTCTCGCCCAGCACAGACAACTTCACCGCGAGGCAGGAAGGGCGGTCGCATCACCGCCATGGTTTCCAGGTTTGAGGATCCGTCCTCCCGCAGTCAGAGCGCGAGCACAAGCAGAGAGAGCTCCGTGCAGCCAGCAGCGTCAAGAGTGGTGGTGGCCACACCACCTCGTGCCCTGACCCCAGAGCAGCTCCCAGAGCAGCAACAGCAAATGGATTCCGAGCTACTGGCACAGATCGAGGCTCTCGAGCAGGAGCGCCTGTTCGCTGAACAGTGGGCTACCGGATCTCTGGATGAGTCCTCGTCGTCGTTGCCTGTGCAGCAACAGCAGCAGCCTTGGCTGGCTGAGCAGCTGGCCGGAGGAGAGCTCTTCACCCCTCAGGAAGCCGTCCCCTCGGAAGCATCGTCCCTGGAATCGGTGGTGTTAGAGGCCAGAACCTATCAGCCTCCTTTGGCCCTCAAGACACAGCAAGAGCAGCTTTCTTCTGCCATAGAACTTGCCGAGAAGCTCTTCACCCCCGAGGATGCATTGCCAGTCAACCTTCCTGCCCTTGAGCGGTACGACAGCGACGAGTCGGTCCCTTCAGCGTCTAGTGAGCCTGAGAGGGTTGTCGCTTTAAGGGACAGCCTGATCAGTGTGACCCCGTCTGAAGAGGTGGAGAAACCACGTGGATCGAGAATTCAGTTCATCTACTGAGAAGTAAGAAATAGGAAGGAGGAGGAAGAGGAAAGAGAGGGGAGAGAGGATGAAAGGTCCTTTAGGAGGTTGAACAGAGGTAGTTCCGTGGAAGGGGGTCACACAGATACCCATTAGGAAATCTTGTACTATAATACTGATTGATATAGTTAATGGATGCTGATGCATTGAACCCAATTATTCTTTCTCCCTTCCTCTTCAACTCACGTCTGTATGATGTAGTCGTTTAAGCTATCCTCTTCTCAGTGACTTGGACGGTCGCAGCCTCGACGATCAAGGCCGCCGAACACTGTACAAACAGACGCACAAGTATACTGTGAGTGGTACGACGGCCCTCATAAGTGTTGGAAGTATATACATTAAAGTTACATATGTAAATCACGGAGAACTCGAGGATTAGCGGCCGTGAGTCCGAGAAACAGTACTTTCCACCTGAGAAAGGAACTCTATTTTCTTGTTTTTGTTTTTTGTTTCTTTTTGCATTCTATATATATATAGAAGCATGTATCTGACTCAGCGTAGGAGAAGCTCCTCTTCCATTTGGATCTCGTACATTCTTTCATGGGAATAAAGCCACTTTCAAAACGACCGTGTTGGAATATCTGGGAATCTTGGAAAACGATAGACCTAGAAAGCAAAATTCCAGTCATACAGTAAGAAGTTAAGCAAAAACGCCAGCGGGAGCAAGACACGATGCCTGCAATAATAATGATAAAAAGCCCCAACCACTATCCCGACGAAGAATTGTCTTAATGAACACCAACCTGCCTGGCCATCTGCGTCTCCGGGTTTGGCGTCAGACGCATGGCGGCAAGACCAGGCTCGGGCATGCGGTCGGCCATCCTGTCGTTGATGAGCTCCATATCCGGCGAGACGGACCTCACGGGATACTCGTTCGCAGGGGACGAGGCACGCAGGAGCCTGGATGTGGTGGGCTGGGGCGAGAGGATGGTGGGCGACTGTGGGGAGGTGGGCGAACCCTCGTCAATAACGACGGTCGTGGGCACGGGGCGGGCCACAGTGGGCTTGACGGCCTTGGCTTCGGGCCCGGTGCGGATGCTGGACGGAAGAATCTGCTCGAAGCCCTGGGAGAGCGCGACGGTCTCTATCGATTTGAAGTACTGTTGTTTGTGCGTTTTGGGGTTGTCAAGTCAGCTTTGGTGTGACCTGCAAAAGGGGGGGGAAAAAAGAAAAAGAAAAAAAAGACGTGATGAGGGAAGAATGAATAAGAGAGTTGTTTTCTTACCTTGACCGTCTTGACTTGCAGTTCCAGCGTGGCATCCTCGTCACACACAATCATAGGGTGAGGGTGCAATTGCAGGCTGGAGAGGGTCCACATGTGGTTGACGCCCTGCTCGATACATTTCTGCAGGGCGAGGGCCTTGCGTGCGCCCAGGATGATGGCGATGACCTCGCGGGCCTCGAGCACGGTCTGCACGCCGACGGTGAGGGCCATCTTGGGCACCTTGTCGAGATCATTGCCGAAGAAGCGCGAGTTGGCGAGGATGGTGTCGTAGGCCAGCGTCTTGACGCGGGTGCGCGAGGCCAGGCTGGAGCCCGGCTCGTTGAAGGCGATGTGGCCGTCCTCGCCTATGCCCGCGAGGAACAGGTCGATGCCGCCCGCCCGCTTGATCTTGGCCTCGTACTCGACACACTCGGCCTCTAGGTTGGGCGCGTTGCCGTTCAGGATGTTGACGTTGCTGGGGTGGATGTTGATGTGCTGGAAAAAGTTCTTCCACATGAAGCTGTGGTAGCTCTCGGGGTGGTCCCTCGGGATCCCGATATACTCGTCCTTTTTATGGTCGACGAGTTAGTAAGTACTTACTTGCTTGATGGTTGCAATGAAATTTGGCATTGAAGATATATGTTTATGTGGATTTTGGAAGCATACCATGTTGAAAGTGACCACATTCTCAAATGATATCTGCAGAATAGTTGTACTCTATTAGCATCTGTATGTGTGTATGCTTCTATTCCAAGGGCGGGAGAAAAACATACCTCGCCAGCCTTGTACTTCTCCACTAGAATCTTGTAGACGCCGAGAGGGCTAGAACCTGTAGGGAGGCCCAGAACGAAGGGGTGGGAAGGGGTAGGGGCGAAATGCTTGATCCTCTCCACGACATAGTTGGCGACGTAGGCACTGGCCTGGTCGGAATCGTCACGGATGATCAGTCTCATTTTTTAATTTTTTTGGGGTTGTGGCTGACTAGCTATGTGTAGGACGATGGGTTTTGATTGTAGTAGGATAATGCAAAATGATGAGTCTTGTTGCCTTGTGTAAGAATGTATAGAGAGAGGGGTAGAGAGGGAGAGAGTTGCGCGTGTGAGTGTGTATGGGTTGTGTCTATGAGGGAAGAAGAACACAGGTGAAATTCCTACTAGGACAAGCCAGAACCACGGACTATAGTAGTGATAAGAAAGGCTTCGTTCGGGCAAGCAAATGACCTCAGTCTCCAAGTCTCACACACACACACACACACTTACACGAGTCGTCACCGATCACCGGCCGGGCCATAGCCGAAACAGGATATCAGACATGCCACTGGATGAGGGCTATCAAATCTGAGAACATAAAAAAGTCACCAACCAGTGGAGAGAGCACACGCACACGCACACACACGCGCGGCGAAGACTTCCTCTGGTGGCGGTCTGTGGGGGCCCTTCCTGACAAAGGAACGGGCAAGGTAGAATGGAACGTTCACACAAATCATAACGATGACGATGGTGGTGGTGAAGGGGCCGGATAGACTGTAGACAAATTAAAAAAGGGCATCAACCCACCGTGTGAAGTCTTCCGGCGGCAACAGTGCCAGGGCAGCGGGCGATGGTGCGGGCAGATTAGGCCAGATGCAGATAGATTTGGTTGACGTTGTATCCGGCGATCCGTCAGGGCCAGGGCAGGACAGGGCATGTGCCATTGACTGAGTGGATTGATTCGGGGATGTGCTACCCACGCAAGAATGGCACAGGCAAACGGTGAGTATCCACTATTTTGCCATTCTGTTTGCATACTTTGGCTCACTGACATGACACGACCCATTCATTTAGTGCCCGTGGACGCCAAAGTAAAGTAGCAGTAAAAAGCGTCATGGTACATAGTTAGTTTGGGTCCCGGCAGGGCAGACGAGGTGTCAAAAGATAGAACAGCCTATCTCTCCCTCCATCGGGGTCTACTCTCCTTACCTGACACACTCCTCAACAGTTGACTGGCTGTTAAACATGGTAATGCTTGTGGGTCGTATTTCTCAGCAAGCCTGTCTTTTCTCTGGGTGCTAAGTTGCATGCTGCAGGGTTAGCAATGTAGGCTTTTTCCTTCTTCACTTCTTTCTTCTTGCACATACTATATTTTTTCTCTACTGGCATGAATATTATGTTCTCTCTTTATTTTTGCCCTCCTTTCTTTTCTTTTACTTCTTTTCTTCTCTTCTTCTCTTCTTTTCCTCTGACGGTTGAGGTGCAGAGGAGCAGATGAGATGGGAGGATTTCAAACACAAGGTCCAATTTTCTTCCTTTTTTTTTTTTTTTACAGTGAATTCACAGTGAACTATACTGGCCCCTCAATCCGCGTGTCGACGTTGCATTCTATGCCGGCAGACCACTGTAGTACCCCTCCTTACACCCGCACCCCTCTTTTCCCCATGCAAACCAATACTCGGGTTCCCAAGAATTCCAAAGCCTCACTCATCTTCACACTACTAACAACCAAATTGTGTGAACGGCTGGACGGATCTGACCTTTGGAATCATTTGCCACATCTGAACCTATAGTTCCTTTGATCTTGTCAACCCCATTTATCGCAAAGAGATTGGGTGCAATGCACGTCAGCAAATCGGTAGTTCTACAAGACCCGGTTCCAGAACTTTTCCAGCGACGATCCGCCGCCGTTGGCATCAAAGCGCAACGTTACTTCACCATGTTTCGAGAGGCGTGCGTGGTTGTACTTACCACAACCACGCCCACCTTTGGACACACTCCAGACAGTCGGCATATTCTTGACCTACTGGGCCCCGTCCGTCCATCCCTCTCTCTCAGATTAGCTTCTTTTGCTAATCGTACCTTGCCATGTTCATCATCTTGCCTTGCGGCTATTAGCGTTCACCCGCCAAGTCCTGGTCTTCCTCTTCTTTCTCTCTTGCTACTACTACTACTACTACTGCTACCACCACCACCTTCATTGGTGTTGTTGGGGGGCCTTCCCTCCACTTCCTCCACCTCCTCCATCTCCTTACATGTGGATATGCTGTGCCTAGTGCACAACATATCGAGATCACCTTTTGAGGTTGAACGTTTAAGCTTGTTTAGTAAGAGAGAGAGGTACTGCCAGAGGTCAATGGCCCTTTCTTTTCTGGAAGAGATCAGGCAAACAAATTGTGCACATTCTTTCCTGGCTCCTTCGGTTCGTCTATTACGCATTCCTTTCGCCTTGCCCCCCACCCCCCCCTCCCCTTCTTCTTTCTAGTTTTCTCGTGGGGAAACGGCCCAGCCGACCACGCTGCCGTCCAAGTGACTGCAGAGTGTGTATTGCACCATCCTGACCATCCTGCAAAGAATGGGCTCGTAGCATTCTCAGAGGGACGACGTAGCCACCACCACATGTGCTAGTTAGTCTCTTTGTCTACCCACACCCTGTTCGGGCGCATCTTTCCAACCACTCTTTGTTTATCCTTTGATACGACCCTCTCTTCCTCTCCTGACCCTCTCTTTCTCTGACCGGTGCAAAGGGATCCAGTTCGCCGCAAACGCAACTGCAACGGCAGACATACGGGCCCGTGTGACCCAGTAACGTCGCCCACATAAGGTCTGACACACATACACACACACACCCACACGGCCCAATCCTACCTCTTGTTTAAGAGAGAACAACAGACCGACAGTTGCCTCGTGGGACGCAAGAATTGGACAAATCATTTCTGCCTCCTCCTCCTCTCCCCCCTCTCCCTCGTCCTCTTCCTCCTCTTGCACGATTGGCTTGGTGTATCCAGCTGGATCTCATGGCATAAAAAGGGTATTCGATAGAATATACCCCCCCCCCCTTTTTTTTTTCTCTTTCTTCTGCCTCTTGAGTGTCTGCTCCATAAAGTAGACTCTGTGAATATTGGATATTCTCGAAACGACTCTTACTACATCTCCCTGTTCTCTTTGCCTCGACTGAGAGGCAGCCGCTCGTTTTCTCGCAATGCCAACTACAATCAGGGAGATCTTCGCTGCGGCGATCAAATCCCTACTGAGGGGCAAGTCGTTCATCGCCGCCTTGTTATCTTTCTGGATTAGTCCCAACGTATTCAAGACTGCCGGGTCTGAGTCGATATCGAACGGTACAACAACAACAACGACTACCTCCTCAACCTCATCATCAACAACAGCAGCAAGGCGGAGTGTCGATGACTTCCTCAAAGAGGTCGAGGCACTGTTCCTGGGACCGATCGAGGACCCCTCGTTGAGGGAGTTCTCGTCGAAGTTGAAGGTGCAGTTCCGAGATGGCCTCTTGAACAACCCGGCATGTATGTTACCATCCTACAACCACCAGCTGCCCAGCCGGTCCGAACATGGCCAGTACCTCGCCCTCGACGTCGGAGGTTCGACACTACGAGTCGCCCTGGTGGAGCTCCTGGGCAAGGAGGCCCAGGGCAGTGGTGCGAGCCGGATCGTGCGACAGGACTCGTTCAGGATCGACCGTGACGTCAAGGATCTCGAGGGCATGGCCTTTTTCGACTGGGCAGCCCAGAAAGTCGTGAGCACGGTTGCGGAGGCGCTGGACGCCAGGAACACCCCAGAGGATCCGCTGCTCATGGGCCTGGCCTGGAGTTTTCCTATCGAGTAAGTGTCTCTCTCTCTCTCACTCTCTCGCGCTCTCTCTCACTCTCACACACAAATTGTTCATCTGTTGGGTTTCCTCTTTATTGACGCTCTTCTCTCTTTGTCTTTTCTTCAGGCAAACTTCTCTCAAAGGCGGGAAACTGCAGAGCATGGGCAAGGGCTTCAGGGCCTCCAATGGTCTTCTAGGCCAAGATCTCGGCGGCATCATCAAGTCAGCGTGCCGCTCACGAGGCCTCGCCGTCGAGCTGGCCGCCATCGTGAACGACTCGACTGCGGCTCTCCTGTCAGAGGCCTATCTCAACTCCTCAACCCGCTTCAGCCTGATCCTGGGCACAGGCGTGAACATCGCCGTGCACTTGCCAGTGGCGACCGTCGGACGGGACAAGTTTGGCGACCGCCCCTCGAGCTGGTTCGACAAGGCCACGCATGTGATTGTGAACACCGAGCTGGGCATGTTTGGCAAGGGCATCTTGCCCGCGACGCGCTGGGATAAAGCGCTCAACGCTGCCCACCCGAAGCCCGACTTCCAGCCCCTCGAGCACTTCGTCAGCGGCTGCTACCTTGGCGAGGTGTGCAGGCTGGTGCTGATCGAGGCTATCGCTTCGACTGGGGTGTTGGGGGGTGTCGTCCCACCGTCGTTGCTGCTTCCTTACTCTCTTGATACAGAGACGATATCATTGATAGAAGGGTATGTTTTTGTCTTTTTTTTTTCCCCTAAAAAATATGTCTCGTTCTTGTCTTACACTCTTGGCTCATCCTTCCTCTTCTTCTTATTTCAAACAAAACTAACCGACTTTCGGTTGCTTGTACAGAGATAATTCGCCATCACTAGAACCATCCCTCGCCTTGTTCAAACTCCGCCATCCATCCCCTTCCGAACCTGTAAAGGCAGACATCCTCTTCATCCGGAGACTGGCTTCCTCCATATCGCGTCGCTCCAGCGCCATCGTGGCAGCATGTCTCTTCGCCCTCTGGCAGTTCAAAAACGAGGCCGAAGCAGAATTTGGCAACATCAGCGGCAGCAGTAACACTACTGTGACTGCTGCTGCTGTTGCTGCAAAGGAAGAAGAGCGGAGCCTCGACGATCATGTGGTCGCCTTCAATGGCTCTGTGATTGAGCAATATCCGCAATACCTCGACAACTTGCAAAGCTATATTAATCATCTCTTCTCCACCACCACCACCACCACCTCCTCCTCCTCCTCCTCCTTTTCTTCGGCCGAAGGAATCAAGAGTTCTGGGTCCATTAGCCTCGTGGGTGCTAAAGAGAGTTCGTTGCTAGGTGCAGCGGTCGCTCTGGCCTGCCTGGAGGAAGGCAAGGCGAACTGAGAGAATTGATGGACCTGCATACGGTGTGACGGCCAAAAGTACATATATGCACATGTTAATACCGGGCCACCGTTTGGTTGTACAACCAGTAGGGGAAAGCGGCATATACAACCCACCTGACATCGGGATTCTTCGAGCATATGTTTGGACATAAGGGCGCAACATTGACATGAATTTTTTTATTTATAAGCGGGCTAAATAATACCTTTAATATGCATTGCTCTTAAAGAAGAAGATAGCTTGATAAATCGTGCTTTGCATACTTCTTCTGCCTAGGAGAGGATATCACATTTGATTCCCCACAAACAAATTTGCCAATGTCCCGGTGCCCAGTGTCCATGCTCCCACCCCAAAGAGAGAAGGAAAGAGAAAGAAGAAAAAATTCATTCGCAGTAAGAAGTAGAGTAGAAATCACTTGTACACATAGACAGGAACCCATGGTGTTGACGCCTTGTCATATAACCATCACATCAGCGCATGCCATTGTAAGATTGACACATGCTCCCAGTCAGCGGACTAACCAACAACAAAAAGGACATAAGATCCCTCAGTCTGAAGAAAAATATCGCTTTGTCCTGTTGCGAACCTGCTGCGCTTTCAGATCAGGAGGCACGATGGTATGATGTACGACGTGAGGACGGTATATTGCGTCGACCGGAGGCATCCTGTATAGAAGCTATAGTCAGCTTGAGCCGCAGGAGGAAGAAGAAAGATATAGATAGTCGTCACTGACCAGTCATCCAGACTAAGAGGGAAATATTCGTAGAGCTCCTCCTCGTCATCTTCGGGGTTCTTCTGCTGATTCAGACCAGCAGCGAGAATCTTGGAAAATTGTGGAGAGATGGAATCAGAGTTTGAGCGGTTGGGGCTGCGCTCGTCCTCGGAGAGGGACAGGTTGATAGGCAAACTCGAGGGCGGTGCCGCCGAGCGCTGGAAGGAGTTGCTTCGTGGTGTAGCAGGGTTGGGCGTAACACTGCTGAGTTTTGCTGAGATAGATGCATCTAATGACCATGCTGGCACTGGTGGCCGGTTCGGATTGGGTGATACTGCCACTGCAACTTTCTTGGAAGGGTGGGGACTTTGCTGCTCATATGATGATGGAGTGGGAGCCCAGTCGCCTGGTTGTTGTTGCTGCTGCTGAATTTGTTTCCAAGAGTCAGCAAAGAACATAGTTGGGACGCTCGAGGACTGCAGCCTGCATCTCTTCATACCTGTATACTACCTAGCGAGTGGTATCTTTGCATGTTCTCCCCAGCTTCGGTGCCCTTCTCCGTCTTGGGAACAGGTGTCGCAGCATCCGCCGTGGATCCAGACGCCCGCTTCTCTGTTGTCTTCTTCTCGCCCGACAGAGGAACATCCTTACGACTGTCAAAGTTCCTGGGGCTTCGGCCTCGGACGATGACGGGCCCAGACTGTATCTCGGCGATCTTGATGAACTGGCCGTTCTTCAGCTTGCTGAGCAGGTTGATCTGCACGACGTAGTGCTGCTGGAGCCCTTTCCTGCGGCCGTTGTTCGCGGTCGCGTGCTTGAACTGGAGCCTCTTCCAGGAGACTGGCAGGGCGATCCGGTTATGGTCCAATTCTTGTCCGGCCGACAGATCGAGGGGAATGTTTGGTGGCGCAGCCGGTGACTTGGTGTCTTCGCCGTTGGATGACTTCCAGGGTATTGATATGATTTCGGTAGGCTTGCCCTCGATCGACTCGACAGCAGAAATGGAAGCTGCCAGCTCGAACACGGGAAGCTGCTGGCCCTGTTCGTCAATGATATGGCTGATGTGTCGAGGCAGCGTGATCTGGCCGGAGCACTGCCATAGGTTCCTCCGATAGCACGTCAGCTCCAGTGGCCGCCCGGTGTTCTCGCCTCCAAAGACATCCTCGGCGACGAAGAACATTCCCAGGAGCTCCGCCGACAGGTTTGCCTCGGCGTAGATCCCAGACCCGTCGACGATCTGGGCCTTGAGCAGTGGTGCCGAGAAGCCGAGCAGCTTATTGTCAAGCTCCTGGGCGGGAGAGCCCTCGTTGAACGGTCCATTGTCGGCGGGTACGTCGAAGGTGGGGCGGGCGGAATAGGAGAAGGGGTCTTCGAACGTGTTGAAGCTCTCGAAGTCGTAAGAGGGCGTAAATGGGAGCGGTGCGAGGCCATGTACGCCATCACTGCAAGAACATGAAGGGTCAGCACCAAGGAGCCAGACGTCATCCACCACGAGACCGTGGCCCTTCGTTAAAGAGGGGAGAAGGGTCAATCCGCTGCAGGACAAGTCTGCAGGACCAGCGGGTCCTTCACGTGTCCACCACGTGCTGTACTGCGTGGTGCTGTGTTGTGCTATATGGCATGTGTGTGTGTGCGCGCGCGCGTGTGTGTGTGTGTCTGTGTCTGTGTCTGTGTACGTGTGATAAGGAAGGTGAGGTAGGAATGCCATATCATTACTTACAGAAGCGAGTCATCAAAGTTCATCTCTTGGTCAAAGACGTCGATAGCCACGCTGCCATTGGTCATGTTGTGGGCCATCGGGGTATGGCCGTGCGAAGGAGGTACGGCACCGCTTGGAAGCCCGGATCCGGCTCCGTGACCTGAGTTGTAGGTTGCCATGTCATTCTCGGCGTGTCGCCATGCGACTCGGAGCCAGCGCCAGAGGGTGGGTGCATGCGGCACAGGAGTCCCGGAAACAAATCTGCCGGAGCGTGTTGTTGCGAAGGATCACGGCCGCACAGCGCAGTTCATGGTCGATGGGGATGGATATGCAATCTAGGTGGGAACTAGGGGCCCTCTCGGAGCAGGGCATAGTCAGCCGGCTCGTTGCTTGGTGCTAGACCTGGTGCTAGACCACCACCAGGCACGTTCTGCCAAAGAACCATGGGGCGCCAAGATGGCCTGGGGTCTCGCGCCGCTCATTTAAGGTTGCTATCTTCCCCCCCCCCCCCCATCCCAGCATGGAGAGGGGGAGGGGGTGCCCTTGGCTACTCGCTAGGCCTTGGTTGGCTCCTCATTTGATGCGTGAGACCCATTGGTCGAAAGGATGGCCCCTAGCATGTACGGTAGCAGCCACCACTGCTGTCATACCACAGTATCATCCCGCCTTAGTGCTGTAGTGCCATAGTAATAGTATCGTAGCAGGCCACTGGTACAGTGACCGGACCCCGGACTGTCCGGCTGGGCGGGGTGCCCTAACGATGTGGGAGCCAACGCAGCCCTGACCGCGTCTGCGTTAAACGACCCTTGATGTCATATGCAGGCACAATAATAATATACTCTTGATTGTAGAGGGCTGTCTGCATCATTACAAGACTTTCAGCTTATAGAAACGAGCTTGATTGCATGGGGTCGTAAGCCCTCTGGCTCTGACGCGGGAGGAGGATCCCCCAAATTGCCAGGGCGCTTATCTCTCTCAATGACCGCTGTTGGTGGTCCACTGGGGCGTTCGTTCATGCCACAGAGCAGGGATGTAGAATTACCATTAACAACCGCTTTCAGGAAAGCCGCTGCGGAGCTGGGCTGTGCTGCCAGTCAGAGACGACTTCAATGCGACGGATGAATCAACAAGAAAGTAAACGTGTTTCTGAGTGCTGTAGACATGCGCTGCCGCAATGCGACCGGACAAGCAGGGGGGAAGAAAAGAGTTATAAGCTTCCGACGCCATGTGCTGTGTCGGTGTAATAGAGTGAATCAAGACAGGTCGGACCACTAAAAAGACGTGTAAGCTTACCCGTCCATTATGCTTCTTGAGGAGCATTCTGCATGAGCTGGTCAAGACCTACATTTTCCGGCGAGTTTGTGAATTCCTCAAACGACTGGAGGACTTCGAAGCCCATGGCTAGCAGTGCATCGTGCAAGTCATCCGTGACCCAGCTGAGCACGCTCCGCGCCGCCTTGTGGGCTTTGTTCTGCCTCACCCCCATATAAGCCAGTCCTTGCAGAACCAGCGTAGCCTGCGCATTCGACTCAACAAGAGGCGCGATGATCCCACCCACAAGCTCCTTTGGGGTTGTGCCCTGTAGACATGGCACCTTGAGCCGGAAGGAACTCCCTGGAGAGGAGATGATGACGGTTCCGAGTATCTTCCCCGCGCCATTCTTGGCCCTGACCACTCCACAGGTCTTTACATCTTGGAGGGCGAACCTGTACAGCTCCGCAACCTCGTCGTGTCCAAGCAAACTGACGTGGTGCAGGACACTATCGGCGTTGTCCAGCCCGTGAATGAGATCGAAGTTGATTCCGGCGCGCGTTATGCTCTGCGTCAGACCATCAGGTGCCGCCCAACTGCCCGCATCCCTGATGACCATAGTTGTCAGTGTCCTTGGGAACTGCGTGTCCCAGCCACTATTGGCGAACCACGACTTTGCAGATCCACTCTCGTCGACGGGTATACCGAGAAAGACACAAGGATATGATGTGCCGAGTTGAAAGTTCTGGACCCCGTGGTGTTGTTTAAGATGTCTCAGTGCTCGGCGGTGAAGCGAGCGTCCGATTGAGACGTTCCTCTTGCTTGGTTCAACCAAGAGGGCACCGATAATGCCAGTGTTGTTGATGCAATAAGTCGCACAGAAGCCGTACAGCGCTTTTGTGCTGCTGTTCCTGACGACGAAATGTGACTCCTCGATGTTCGCACTGGACACCTCAAACGCCGCGGCAGACGTCAGTTTCAAGAAGTCGAGATTCGGCGCACTGGCTTTCGCAACAGCCCGGAGGAGGTCGTTCAGACTGTTCCTGTCCCTCTGGCTCTCGTAGTTCTCGACGAGCCACTGCTGTCTTGACTTTGAAACCTTCTTGCTCTTCCTTAGTGTGCCCGGCAGTGTACCTCTTGGCGTGAACTCTCCAAAAAGTGCCCGGATAAGCGCCTGTTCCAGATCAATCGGTCCATTAGCCTCTCGAATCTCGTGAACATACGCGGAGACGTCCTAAGAGAAGTGTATGCAAAGGTGAGAAGAGGCTTGCCTACCTGCATCGCGGTTTCTGTAAAATCAAAAGTGCAGATGTATGTCCCGATCGACTTGTCCATGGCGAAGTCATAGGGCGAGCTGACAGCAACAACAACAAGTGATTTCTTCTGTCCGCTAGCACGGAGCATTGAACACATCATAGCCACGTGCTTTGTGAAGCCTGACTGGTATAAATTGCGGTTTGCATCTGCTGTGACGACAATGATACCTGATGCTCTGTTGATCAGATTCTCGTGGACAGGTCTCACCCCGTTCGCAGTGTAGGAAGTGTGCAGAAGCTTTCCGTTTCTTTGGCGCGCCAGCGATCGTCCCAGCTCTCTGAAGACGCCCTCGCCACTCATGATGGCGCCTCTATCTCGGTGAAGCCACTTATCATGTTCGGTGGAGATGGTGCTTCTGGAGTTCTTAGCCTCGATGGCCCTCGTTGCGGTTGAGGCGGGTAGTGGCTTGACCAAGGGGGTCAGCAGCAGGAGCTCTTCGTTCTGTTCCATGGACTGGGAGAGCGGGAGCAGTCGGTCTTTATCTCGCATGACTGTGATGGAGCTCTCGTACGCCTGTCGGGATAAGTTGAGATGGGATGGATGGATTTGTGAGAGCAGAGATAGTCCAGGTGGGTTAAGGGCTTCGGCCCATGAAGTGCACTTGGACTTCATCTGGAGTATGCGCCTGATCGAAGTCATGATCCTGTCTCTGCCAATGATACCATTCTCAATCCCCAGCTTCAGCCCAGCAATACCCTCGAGTTGAATCTTGACAATCGTCAGCTGAGAATACATGCATACTCCGGGGGGGGGGGGATACAAAATTTCCTAAGAGTTGAGAGTGGCATGGAGCCTCGGCCTTCACAAGACCCTCTCACCACAATACCACTCGATTCGGATGACAAGGAAATACTTACGTTATAATCCTTACACAGAAGGATCAGATCACAGCCAGCCTCGACGGCCATAACGGTACCTCCTTTGACGCCGATTTCCTGGTATAAGGCCTCCATCTCGAGACACTCGGAGATGGCGACTCCCTTGAAACCCAACTCTTGCCTTAGCAAATCGTCGACGACCTGGTCAGAGAGACATGCATGGGACACATTCATGTTGGCGGATGCGATTCCACAGCCACCCACGAACACGGCATCCAGTTTTCCGGTCGCGATCGCATTCCTGTATGGTACCAGAGCGCTGAGACTGAGCTCCTCTAGAGTCTGTGTGATGATGGGGATGTCCAGACTGGAGCCTCTGAAGTCCAGGTTTCCGTATGTTGGGAAATGCTTGCCGCATGTGGAGAGTCCTGCGTCTTTATAGCCTTTTATGGCAGCAATACTATACTGCGAGACCTCTTGGGGGTCGTCGCCGCTGCTTCTGACACCGATGGGTTGGAAACGAGCGTTTGTGAGGACATCCAGGACTGGCCCAATGATGAGATTGACACCGACGGCCGAGATCTCCTTGGCCGTAGCCTTGGCTACGTTGTATGCCATATCAAGGCTTCCTGTAGCCGCCAGCCCCATGGCACTTGGGAACTGACAGATGAAGTCTTCATCAAAGAGACTGTTGACACCTCCATTCTCCTGGTCCACGGCAATGAGCAGGGGGCACGGGTGTCCTGCATTGTGGGCAATGGTCTGCAGCTCCTGGACGAGCCTAGCTGTCTCGTGAGCGGCTTCAACGGTTTCAACACATTAGCATCTCTCGGTCCAAGTCGGAAACAACAAAACAGACAGCAAAAGCTTTGTGGACTCTGAATTACACTTCACGTTCTTGGCAGTGAGGATGATGGAACCAAGATGATATTCCTCAATAAGGGTACGGATCTGCGGGGTGACCTGAAAGGGAATATTTTAGTAAGCCCTTCTGCGAGACTGTATTCGAGTGGAGAAGGAGGAAGAGGGAGGGAAAGGACTCCTCCTGACTTCAGTGCCATCCCAGCCCATTAGCAGCATCTGCCCGATAGCCCTACAACCCCAGTATCCAGTGGTTAGCCCAGATATCTCTTTTCCCTTGCTGACTGAGGACAAAGGAATGAGTTGTTGCAAGGCAAGAAGACAAAAGCACGTACCAATCAAGATCTAGCCATAGTGGGTCCAAGTCGCCCTCTGGCTTCGCCATATTAGCTGAGATGGTTGCTGGACATTCCTATGCAATAGAAACCCAGGGCGAGCCTAGAATATGTTGTCGTATGTAGATGGAACCACAGCTGCAGACAGCAGGGTTCGACCGTCGAGTTGGGTGAGCGGCAAGGTGTTGATCTCCAAGCAGATCGGGAGGATGAGGGGGCGCCTTGTGGAAGCTGGAATTAAACAGGCTAGCCCAAAGCGACACAGGGACGAAATTACAGACTCCCCACTCGAGACAGAAGAAGGATATGACTGGAAATCTTTGGTCGGTGTCGTTGTTGAATGGTGATGACACATCTGATGAAGCTGTGCTGCGAGCCTGGTATGTCGCAGGTGCGGCTGGGACGGTCTGCTGAAGCGCCTCGCGCCTGCTATCTCTCTCCTAGGCTGTGCGGCCAGTCAGCTGTGGTCAGCAGGGTTAGGGTCAGAGTCCTATTTAATTGGGTCATCGGATATCCGCAATTTCCCTATGACGCTAAGCTACTTCCGGGTCTGCAAAGAGTCAGGGTGTGATAGGAAGGGAAGCAGGTACCCAAGTACCTCCCTCCCCGTCGTGGTGCCGTCGTCCTTCATGTCACCATCAAACGTTACATCTATGATATGGATGCGATCTACCCTGACCTTTTTTTTTTTTGCTCTTCTTCCTGCCTTTCCTTGTGACTCGACGCAGATCATCGAAAGCATACGTATCTCTGAGAGCCGCTTCAACGTCTCCTCGACCCTCCTTTCGGGGAGGGACCAGCGGATACCGTGAACAAAACGCAGGATGCCACTTTTCCGCACTGCCAGCACAACGACCCTGCACATAACTCAATGCAACCACACTCGATGGTGGAGCGACACATATGCTTGATGTTAATCGCAGAGGAGAGTAGGAGGGAGATATGGGAAGAGAAGTGAAAACTGTTGAACAGTAGGTGGTTGGAGTCTACATGCCTCTCAAGCCGCAGAGGCCTCAACTCTCTCGACCTTCCAAAAAAGACTTCCCATTGCATCCAGTCACTTGGGCAGAAATACTACACTACAAGTAATACACTTACTATACTAGTCACATGCTACGGATACCCCCAAAGGAGATGACGTGCGTCAGTCAAGTTTGTCAGAGACGGGGGACCCATGACGAATGGCGGCTCAAGTAGCCTGTGTCATGAACACCGACAACGCTCCGCTACCACATCCACAGAGCATCCCGTTATCCGTTGAGAGCCGCTGATTTGGACCATGTGGTCTGAAACCAACTCCACCACTGGCTTACTGTGCTGGCACTGTGCATGATGGACTCGACTGGGACTGGACTGTTGCCTCCCTAATCCCTAATCAGCAGCATGCGTCAAGACCCTCCCTCCTTCCAATGACTAAAGGCGACATCCGGGGACTGGCTAATGTAGCTTTCGGTTTGCCTCCTCGAGGTACCCTCCTTCAGGCAAGGACGGATCGCCTTTGGGGGCCCTTTGCCGGCAACGTGATACTTGCTTGGTTTTATCTCTCTCATTCACTGTCTCGGAGGCCATCGGCGGTACATTCATCGTGTACTGCCGTGTGATACCCAGGGAAAAGTTTGTGTGTAAGTCAGCTTAAGTATACTTGGTTCTCTCTCTCTCTTCCTCTTCCTCAGAAGAAGTTGTGTCTCCTCTTGTCCATGGAGCCTCTTCACAATTCGAAAAAGAGGACCAGTGGTCCTCTCAGCGGCGACAAAACCCCATCCTCCCCCTCCTATAAGCCTATTGTCACTCATAATCCACCAATAACCTGAGATCCCCCCTTCTTCGACTTCTTTGCTCTTCACCTTTATCATGCCGGCCATCATCACCGACCAGGGGCCCAGAAATGGCGTCACCAAATTCACAAATTGCCGTATCGCCAGAGGAAGTTCTCTGGTGGATGAGGATCTCTGGGTCAGCTCGGTCACAGGCAAGATCCTCGAGACGCAGGCGGCTTTCTACGACGATTTCGTGCTGCCTGACCAGATCATCGACCTCCACGGCCGTATCGTGTCGCCCGGCCTGATCGATTCCCAGCTCAACGGCGCCTTCGGCCTCAACTTCTCCACTGTCGTCCCAGACATGTCTTTGTACGGCAAGGCAGTGCGAGACCTGAACCGGCGACTAGTCCAGACCGGTGTGACTTCGTACGTCCCGACCGTTACGAGCCAGACGAGCGATCTGTACCGAGCCGTACTGCCTCATCTCGGCCCGTCCAGCTTCGAAAGGATCGCAGAGGACGGTGCCGAGTCGCTCGGCGCGCACTGCGAGGGGCCCTTCATCGCCCCAGGAAAACACGGCTGTCACAATGTCAATGTGCTGCGGGTGGCGCACACCATCGATGACCTGGAGGACATGTATGGCGCCGAAAACATCAACCCAGAAGTAGCCCAAGGCCCACTGCCTGTCAGGATGATCACAGCCGCGCCCGAAATGGGAAACATGACCCAGCTTGTGCACGAGCTGCGCTCTCGCGGCATCATTTACTCGATCGGCCACTCGGAAGCTACCTACGAGGAGGCATCAGCGGCCGTGGGCGCCGGCGCGACTATGATCACGCACCTCTTCAACGCCATGCGACCGCTTCACCACAGAAACCCAGGCATCTTTGGTGTGCTGGGCATTGCTGAGAGCCTGCCGCGCCCATACTTTGGCATCATCTCTGACGGCATTCACCTGCACCCAAACACCATCAAGATCGCATACAACTCGCATCCTGATGGCTTTATCCTTGTCACCGACGCGATGCACATGGTGGGACTGCCGGATGGGCGGTACAGGTGGACCAATGGCGACGGCGAACATCACATTATAAAGAAGGGCTTCGTGCTGACACTTGAGGGCACGGACAGCATAGCAGGAAGGTGAGTCAAGAATATCCTTAGTGGGAAGAAGCCTTCCAAGACTGACAAGTCAAACCAACCAGCTCTATCACTCTGATCGAGTGTGTCAACAACTTCCTGAAATGGTCTGGCACCAGCATTCCCAACGTCCTCAGGGCTGTAACCTCGACGCCGGCAGAGATGCTGGGTCTGAAGGGCATCAAGGGATGCCTGGACGCCGGGGCCGATGCCGACCTCGTCATACTCTGCGAAGAAAAGGACGAGACCGGGGCCGCCCGCCTTGCTGTTGACGAGGTTTGGAAGTTTGGGCGCAGGGTCTACACAAAAGGCGAGCCGTTCTCGCCTGTGGACTCTCCTGTCGACAGCTCACCTATCCCCTCGTCGCCCGAGGGAGACTACGCCGCCATCTGAAACCTGGCTTGGGGTTGAAGGCTGAGAAGATGTCAACGATTATACCTGCATTGTGTATGAGAGGCATTTCAAAAGATATTTTCTTTTGTTCTTGACAAGACTTGGAATGGAAGCACTTTGATGATAAGATAAATTGCATGCTACAAACAGATAGAGTAGACTTTGATCAGCTTCAAAGAGGTTTGCATGACTTGCTATAGCGATGGCATATATGTAGAGCATTTGGAGATTTCCAATTTGATACTATCATAAAATTAGAATTTGAGGCCTATATGAGGACGACGAGGAAGAGAGACCACGTATCCATTTTCAATGTCCTCCTGATGATCATCTGTCTGCTCCTATAATTTTTCTAGGATAATAGCTCGATGGTTTTGCCCGCCTTTTCATCAATCTTCCTACCATCCTGGCTGACCGTGGTCTTGCCCTTCAAAATATCCACGCTCTTCAATTTGCCATCGGCTCCGGCCTCAAGCACGCCGAGCTGCTTGCCCTCGTTGTCTACCAGTGTCGCTTTCGTGCCTTCGTTGACATGGTAGAGGCAGACCTCGAGGTCTTCTGCATAGTCATAAACGGCGCCCTTGACGCCCTCCTTGCCGAGCAACAGTATAGAGTTTTCCCGCACATAAAGAGGCAGCGTGCCAAAGCCGTGCTTCTCCTTGAACCAGCCCGGGCCGGATCGGACCTCATTGGTGAAGAAGGACGTCCATTTGCCCTTGGGCAGGTAGAACTCGACCTCCCCACCCTCATCAAAGATGGGCGCAGCGAGGAGATTGTCGCCCACCATGAACTGTCTGTCCAGGAACCAGGACGTCGGGTCGTCAGGGAACTCGAGGCACATGGCCCGCAGCGACAGAGGAATTCCGCCCTCGACTGCCTTCGCAGCCTGAGCATACAAGTATGGCATAAGCCTGTTCTTCAGCGCAGTCCACTTGGCCAGTGTCCGCGTGCAGCCCTCCTCAGTCCGATCATCATTGTCGATGGTCCAGGGTACGCGGTAACTGTTGCTCCCGTGCAGCCGGCTGTGGCTGCACAGCAGGCCGAAGGCCACCCAGCGCTTGTAGATCCAGGCTGGAGGATACCCCTCGAACCCACCGATATCGACGCTCCAAAAGGCAAATCCGCCGAGTCCCAGGCCTAGCCCGCCTCGCACCGACTCGGCCATTGCCTCAGGCGTGGACTCACAGTCGCCGCCCCACTGCAGCGGGAAGCGCTGTGTGCCAGCGCATGCGGTGCGCGCGAAGAGCACGGCCTGGTCGGATCCGTAGCGCTTCTGGAGAGCCTCGTAGACGACCTTGTTGTACAAGAAGGCGTAGAAGTTGTGCATCTTCTCAGGGTCAACAGACGAGTCGTGCCAGGCCACATCGAGAGTGGGCACCCGCTCGCCAAAGTCGGTCTTGATAGCGTCCACGCCCTGGTCGAAAAGGGTGTTCAGGCATCTCTCGTACCACTCGACCGCGGCCGGATTTGTGAAGTCGACCAGGCCCATGCCGGCCTGCCACAAATCCCACTGCCAGACGTCGCCGTTCTTTCGCTTGACAAGATACCCCTTCTCAGCGGCCTCCTTGAAGGCTTCGCCGTGCTGGGCAATGTACGGGTTGATCCACACGCAGACTTTCTTGACGAGCCCAGAGGCCTTGAGCCGGCCGATCTGCGCCTTGGGATCGGGGAACCGCTCCGAGTCGAAGACAAAGTCGGTCCATTTGAAGGCGGGCATCCAGAAGCAGTCGTAGTGGAAGACGTCCACAGTGATGTCGCGCTCCTTCATGCCCTCGAGAAAAGAGTTCACAGTGACCTCGTCGTAGTCTGTGGTAAAGCTGGTACTCAGCCAAAGGCCAAAACTCCAGCTAGGAACGCTGCTGGGCTTTCCGGTGAGGACGGAGTAGCGGTAGAGAACCTCTTTGGGGGTTTTGCCGTAGATGATGTACCACTTGAGCCGCTGGCCGCGGATGCTCGTCTGAACTCGGCAGCAGCGCTCGCTCCCAACCTCAAGCTCAACTTTGCCGGCGTGGTCTATGAAGATACCGTAGCCACGGTTGCTCAGCCAGAACGAGATGTTCTTGTAAGCCTGTTCGCTTGAAGTCCCGCCGTCGGCATTCCAAAGTGTTATGGCCTGTCCGAGCTTGTTGAAGGCGCCGAATCTCTCCCCAAGCCCGTGAACAGATTCACCCACGGCAAGAGAGGTCTGCGTGAAGATGTAATGCTTGAAGTCGCGCAGATCACCGGTCTGCAGTGGATTGCTAGGTGCCGGGCTGTAAGCCAAGCCGACGCTCCGGCTTAAGAGCGAGGTGAGATGCTTGGAGCCATCCGCGGCATCGAAACGGATGTCAAATGTACCAGGTACAACAGTGGCAGTGATGGACCCAGATGTCAGTGTTGTGGCTCCCTTGCTGCTCTCTGAGACCTTACTCTCGACCTCAGGCTTGCCAGCCGGGTAGAGATCGAAATGAGGTCCTCTGTTGACCTCACCATCCCAGTGCGTGGTTTCGACGGATAAAACGCCATCGCTCTGTGCCTCGACATCCTGTGAATACATATTAGCTGACGATCCGGACCGGCTTAGAGATGATGACTGATCCTTAGGGTAGTGCGTAATGCTTCGCTGGGCTTGGGTCCTATCTTACAATGTTCAGGGTACTCAAGTTTAGAGTGTCTCCTCTGGACCTGATCTTCTTGGTTGGACAGAGCAGACGCAACCCTCGGTCTGTCTTCTTGATATTGTACACCTCCTCGGCATACTCGACCCTCACACCCTCGGCTGTCAGCCACATTCCATCGCGAAACTTCATGGTCTCGGTCAAGGTCAAGATCTCAAACAAGACGAATATCAAACCTCAACTTTGAGGCTGCTTCAACCCAGATCAAAGCAAGAAGAGACCTTCTTATTAAATAGTCGGGCTGAAGACTTCTTCAACCATATGTATGGGGGAGAGAGAGAGAGAGAAAGAGGAGAGAGGAGACAGAAACAAACAGGCTCCGCAGCACCGCAGAACCCAATGTTACGTGATCCGGCAGGCCATCGTGAGAAGATCTGCCTGACCTGGTCATTGGCACGGCGAGGCGGCCCGAAGTGAAGCATGTAACTTGAGATGGGTAGCTCAATTGTGGGCTGAGAACAGGATAATCCTCGGCAGAATCTGCCACCCGCCAAGGTAAGAAGAGAGCTTCTGCCTCCTCCAGATGCTGCCGCCTTCCATGGTGTGACTGAATCGGCTGCTGTGCAATATGTACAATGTACAATTAAGTGGAGGTTGAGGAGGAGAAGGAGGAGAGGAGAAGCCGATCAATGATTGGAGACTATGTCCAACGGTTAGTTTGTCCGTCTTTAGGGTGACGAGCCCATGCCACTATTCCCAAAATAGACAAACCAGCTCGGCAGCCGGAGCAGCATTCTACCGTACTATGTGGAAGCTCCAGCGTAGCTTCCCACTACAAAGTTACTATGTATGCACACTGCAGGAACTACCCTGCAACGTCTGCTATCGTCTATTACACTAATTGATCTTCTATTTACAGCGAACCAGCATTATCAGTAGCGGCACGATCCCCTCATTCTTTGGCTGTTGATTTTCCCACGAGTCACAACCCATGGTTTCCTCTTGAAAAGGCCAGCCTCTACACCGAGGATCTCAGCGTCGTGATGTTCTCGTCATCAACCAAACTGCTCTGTCCAAGGGGAGTAACTGTACTGTACCGTGGCCATTCCCCTACCAGACCTGCCTGCAAAGGGGGGAGATGATGTTCTGACATGGGTTACTACCACAGTTAGGCTCCTTCTCACGAGGTCTCTATAGCTGATACTACGCGGCGTGTCTGATGTGCATCGCTGCTGTTCCACTCGGTCGACGTATCTCCTGGCATGGAACCCGAGAGCAAAACGGTCGACTCGGCCCGGAAAGGCTTGACTGAAATTAGGGGGCGTCCACAACATGCAAAGACATGGTTTCTCCAAGATTTATCTTGCATACCCTTCAGCTGCAGATGCGTGAACTTGTGTTCCCGTGAGCCTCGTCAACCACCAGAGTGGGCTTAGCCTGCTCCCACGAGACCGGTAAGCTCGCCGAGACGATGCATCTAAGGCAACCTAGGGAGCAAGGGTGATATTTTTCCTAGTCTGTTCTTCTTAGTAGGTGGTTTTGAACTGGGGCCAAATACATATATGGCGTGTGTTGGGCCGTCCTTCTGCGGACCTGTTGCGATGAGGGAACAGTCGAAGGCCTTTGGTGGAAAGCTGGTACCTGCTTCTGGGACAGCCAACTCAAAACCATTGTCAGGATGAGGGGCCTCAATGCTGCTGTCTCGGCCACCTTGTTGGCGATGGCCACGTCTGCCAATGGAGCGAGTTACAACAGCACGCCAATCTACAAGAATCCTAATGCCACCATCGACGATCGGGTCTCTGATCTGCTCAGCCGCATGACAATACAGGAAAAGGCAAGCCAGCTGGTCCAGGGCGATGTCTCCAACTGGCTCAACGTTGATGACGGGGCCTTCAACGCGAGTGGCCTGGCCTGGAACATGGAGTACCGAGGAGGGTCGTTCTATGTTGGCTATTATCTGAACTGGACGACCCTGTGGGAGTACATCAAGATCGGTCAGGACTATCTGGTGCAGAACACGACACTTGGCATACCAGCCTGGGTCCAGTCCGAGGGCATCCACGGTTTTCTCATCCCCAACGCCACCATCTTCAACAGTCCCATCGCCCAGGCTTGTTCGTGGAACCCAGACCTGGTCGAGAAGATGGGCCAGGCCATCGCGCAAGAGGCCTCGGCTCTGGGTGTGAACCAGATCTTCGGTCCCCTGGGAGACCTGGCTCGTGAGCTGCGGTACGGCAGAGTCGAGGAGACGTACGGCGAGGATTCCTACCTGGCTGGCGAGATGGCCTACAGTTACGTCAAGGGCCTGCAGTCTGGCGGTGTCGCTGCCATGGTCAAGCACTTCGCCGCGTATGCCTCGCCTGAGCAGGGCATTAACACGTCGCCTGTCCACGGTGGCGAGCGAGAGCGTCTCATGACGTACTTGCCGTCCTACAAGCGGGCCATCGTCGACGCAGAGGCCGTGGCCATCATGGCCGCCTACCATTGCTACGACAGCGTGCCGGCGGTGGCGGACTACCATCTGCTCACCGAGATCCTTCGAGACTCTTGGGGCTATGAGTATTTCGTCATGTCAGATGCTGGAGGGACGGATCGGATTTGCACGGCCTTTGACATGTGTCAAGCCTCTCCAATCGACTCAGACGCCATCGTGAACTTTGCCCTCCCAGCAGGCACGGACAGCGAGATGGGAGGTGGGAGTTACAACTACGAGAAGATCCCCGACATGGTAGCGGCGGGTTCTCTCAACGAGTCCGTTGTCGACACGGCCGTCTCCAGGGTCCTCCGTGCCAAGTTCCAGATGGGCCTGTTCGAGAAGCCCTTCCTCGGCGTGCCCGAGAATGAGTTTGATCAATACGTCCATACCAATGCAACCCAGCAGCTTGCACGCCAGCTGGACACAGAATCTATTGTCCTTCTCGAGAATCACAACGCCGTGCTGCCGCTCAGCAAGACAGCCCACATCGCGGTCATTGGGCCCATGGCAGCAGACCGGGTGAACTATGGCGACTATGTTGTACGTCTTTGCCCCACTATCACTTCTCCTCCAACATTCTCACACTTATACATATCTTTTGTTGTCACTGCTTGGTGTCTGTCTGCTTGCTAATCAATTGCATGTTCAATAGCCATATAAATCCGGCTACCGAGGTGTCACACCACTCGAAGGTTTTCAGGCAGCCAGTGAGGGTACCATTACCTATGCCAAGGGCTGTGAGCGCTGGTCCAACGACGAATCCGGCTTTGAGGAGGCCGTTTCTTCCGCCGAGGCTGCCGACGTGGCCGTGGTGATTGTGGGCACCTGGAGCCGCGATCAGGGCGAGCTCTGGACGGGCCTGAACGCGACCACAGGCGAGCACATCGACCTCTCTTCGCTAAACCTCGTGGCCGCGATGCCGAGGCTGGTGCAGGCCATCATCAACACGGGCAAGCCAACGGTGGTGGTTTTCAGTAGTGGGAAACCCATCACGGAGCCGTGGATTAGCAAGAATGCGAGCGCCCTGGTGCAGCAGTTCTACCCGTCCGAACAAGGCGGGAATGCACTTGCCGATGTGCTGTACGGGAATTACAACCCAAGCGGCAGGCTGAGCGTCTCATTCCCTTATGATGTTGGGACCACGCCGATTTACTACGATTATCTGAACTCGGCGAGATCGTACCCCAACCCTGGACATATCTATCCTAATGGGACATTGGTGTATGGATCGACTTATGTGTTTCAGAATCCGGATGCGCTCTACACGGTATGTCTGTCGTCTCATCCTGCAGATGATAATGGCTGATAGCCACCTATTGGCTGGCCTACTACACAAACATAAATTCGTCAGGCTTACTGACGTGGATAATGAATAATAGTTCGGGTACGGCCTCTCCTATTCGACCTTCAGCTATTCCGCCATCACCCTCTCACAGAGCACCGCCTCGGCCAGCGATACCATTACCGTCACGGTGGAAGTGACCAACAACTCCACAGTCGACGGCACCGAAGTGGTACAGGTGTACATCAAAGACGACATCTCAAGCGTTGTTGTGCCCAACAAGCTGCTAAAGGGCTTTTCCAAGGTTTTCATCGCAGCCGGGGCCACCGAGACTGTCAGTATCGACATCAACGTAGCCGACTTGGGGCTGTGGGACATTCGGATGAATTATGTCGTGGAGCCAGGAACCTTTACGGTGTATGCGGGCAGCTCAAGCTCGGACCTGCGGGCAAATGCTACCTTGACGGTCACCTAGATGATTGGACTAGTTGATTATATGACTCTGCTTCCAACACCATGTTTGAGCTGTAAGCTATTGCCAAGGTCATGTTTGCGGTCAGTGCCCTCATCACACATGTCACAACAAAGCCAAGGTCTTTGTGGATTACAATGATCAAGTCATACGATGTCATCGCTGTGTGGTCTTCGTTAAGTAAATAAAAAGTATGTGTATATAAAGTAGATACCACCGAGTCGAAATAGAAACCAAGGGCAACCCGGCATGTTTCCAAACTCTTTTCCTCTCTCACGAGGTCAAGGTAAAAGTATCACTTGTTCCATTAAAGGCCGTGATGGTGCCAAAGATGTCCTTCCAGTCACCATAATATCTGACCCTATAGGTGCCCGCCTCGGCATATGGTGCCGTGGCCGAATTGTCGGTCGTCTCCGTCTCCCAGGTGATGATGACCTGGCTGTAGCCCAGGATGGTGTCGGTCTGCGCCCAGGTGTAGACAAGGTGCCAGTCGTTGTCGTCACGGACCTGGGTCCAGGTGGAGCCGTCGACCAGCTGCTCCACGGCCGCAAAGGTGCCCTCGAGGCGCAGGTTGTTGCGCGGGTTGGCGCCCTGGAAGGTGGTGTTGACGACGCTGCCGATGGTGTACGAGGCGTTGGGCTGTGTAATGACATCGCCAAAGGCGCTGCCGATCGGGGCACCGTCATAGACGACACCGGCGATGAAATCAAGAGAGACCGCCCTGTTGTCTGGCGGGTAAGGGCCGGACGCAGGGGAGTCGGTCGAGTCTGGGGAGAGGTAGTGCAGGTTGCTGATGGAGAGGTTCATGTAGGCGTCGAGCTCAAACTGGCCATACAGGGTGGAGGCGCCCTCGTACCGCTGGATCTGGTACTCCTCGAGGGTGGCGACGTAGTGGGCGTAGGTGTTGGCAGGGCCGCCCAGGACGACGATGGGCTCGGTGTCGTTGAGGAAGGTGGCCGAGGCCTCGCTGGCGACGGCGTTGCGCCACCTGCGGCCCGACATAGTGGTGGCCTCGCTGGGCGAGACGATGATGATAAACTGGCCGACACGGAAGCTCTGAACGTCGACGATATCCGGCGTCCAGTCGTAGGGCTCGTAGATCTCACCGACGTCCAGGAGGATGGGCTTGGGGTACTGGCATGCGACCTGCTCTGGGCCTGGGTCCTTGAGAAGGTAGGCGACGGCATCCCACAGCGGGTCGTCAGGCTGGCCAGAGTCGGCCTGGACAAAGTCGAAGGCGCCAGGCCAGTCGGTGGTGCCGGCCGCAAAGGACTGGCCCAGGGCGGCGGGACATGTGTTGACGGTCGTGCCGTTGGGCAGGGCAAACTCAAAGTAGCTCATGTTCTGGAAGAAGTGATACGACTTGACGGTCGTGCCCACGATGGGGGTGGACTGCGCGTCAAAGTCGCCGTACAGGTCATATGCGCCCTGGAACTGACGACGGCCCATCTCGTAGCACGAGGTCACACCGAGGTCGACGTTGGCAAAGAGGGGCCCTCGACCATGGCAATCCTGCGACTTGCCGTTGGCGCACGTGCTGTTCTCGAAGCTGCACATGTCTCCAGTGCCATCATCGCACCAGGCGCCCAGGACATTGGGTGTTGTGTCGCCCACGTTCGCCTGCGAGAAACCGGCGACGAAACCATCAGCAGCTGAGCTGTCGCTGGCCATGGTCTGCTCAAAGAGGTAAGCGGCTACGCCCTTGTTGTCGCCAGCTACGTGCGTGTTGTTTCCATACATGGACGTGCCGTGAACCTAAAGCCATCGATAATCAGTACTTGTTGTCTCTGTCTATGTAATGAGCGAGAAAACACACACACACACACATATATATATATATATATATATATATATATGTGTGTATATATATGTGTGTGTATATATATATGTGTGTGTATATATATATGTGTGTGTATATATATATGTGTGTGTATATATATATGTGTGTGTATATATATATGTGTGTGTATATATATATGTGTGTGTATATATATATGTGTGTGTATATATATATGTGTGTGTATATATATATGTGTGTGTATATATATATGTGTGTGTATATGATCCAAATCGGAGTTGCACATACCGGATACCAGGTCAGGACGCCCATGTTGAGGCCATCCGAGGCACGCTGAAACCGCAACATGGTCAGGGTCTGATCCGTAGAGCTGTCGTACAAGGCGCGCTCCTCGGCGGGGTTGTTCTCGTAGGCATAGAGACTGCGGCTCAGGTTGCCATCGGTAATGTTGACAGTGCCGACATCAAGATAACCTTCTGTCAGGCTCTCGTGTGCCCTCTGGATGGAGAGGACAGCGCCGTCAATGATAGCGTTCACGCTCTGGAGATCCATCCCAAGACTCGTGATTTGAGGCTGGTTTTGGTTTTTTTTTGGTGGTTAGCTAGAGGTTGCGTGTTTATGTGTGTGCATATATGTGTCTGTGTGTATGTGCGCTTGTGTGCAGAGAGGATTCGAGGGGAGGAAGAGAAACTCACCAGGAGGTAATTCCACCAGGCACCAGGACCATTGTGGGAATGAGTGCCCGTCACAGCCACGTTTGACTGTCCATAGACGGCATAGTCATCGCCCAGGGCAGCAAGCCCTTCCAGGATGCCATAGCGCTGGGCTGTATCGCCAGCAGCAATATCCAGCACCAGGTAAACAAACCTGTCATCTGGGTTGCTGACATCGCCAATGATGAAAGCCCGAGAGTAGAGACGTTGGCGCAGACCCGTTCCAATCTGGCTCAGGTCCGCATATCCACCAAACTCTACCTCGACAACGGGGCCGGTAATGTCAGCCTTGCCCACTCCTATCCTGAATGGTTCGTCATTTACTCAAGTTAGTATACGTTTCTATGGTAAGACACACTATACACTGTGTGTGTGTGTGTGTGTGGGTATGTATATGTATATGCATATGTATAAAGGTGTACTTGTGTGTGGTTGATACGACTTACAAGTACTGGTCACCAGTAGAGGCCCGCGTCTTGGACGTCAGAAACTCCTTGACCTCCTCAAAGTCGTCAAAGTCAACATTATCCAGCTCCTCGGACGAGGATGCAAACGCCCTGGGCCTCTGGTTGCTGTTCAGCACCGAGATGGCGAGCAAGCCAAGGGCCAACACGGAGAAGAGGGCCAAGGTGCTGAGAAGACCCCTGCGCGGGGCGCCGCGTTCCTTGAACGTAGAGGCGGTCATGGTATACTGAACTTATAGTAAATAAGTACTGTATGTCCTTGGCGAGCCCTGTCTCACACAGCCTTGGTGTGTCAGCGCGAAAGAAGATCGCACGACAAAGACAAAAACAGAAGAGGACAGCTGAGAGGGGAGGAGGGTGATGGCGGGGGCAGTGTCACGTCTGAGAGAGACAGACCGTGGAATGAAGAACGTCTGGACACACGTCCTCAACCATGCAACGCATAGAAAGGAGAAGGGGGGACGCGAAGGAAGTACAGCATCCAGTCTTTTATGAACCAGGACAGAACCACATACTACTTGCTATCACTACTACAATGATAAATTACCTGGTGATCTGCCAGTGCAGAATGAGGACCCCAAAATCTATAGTACAGGCAGAACGCTATCATCCATCCTTGTTTTGGAGATTGCAAGCTCATGTGGCTGTGGATTCCGGGCCATGGGTTCCATCTCGGATTGCATGGCATGGGGGGGCGAGGTTGTGTGCGGTGGGTGTGGAGGAAGGAGGTGTGGTGGTGGTAGTCTCCGTCTCGCTCTCTGCCTACTACTACTATTACTGTACAGGTTGAGGGAGATTGTTGATCATGCTCCCGGCATCTCTGGCATGCAGAGTAGTATCGATGTTACCCCCGGGGCGGGACTTGTTCCTGGGGCCCTGGAGGAGCGGCTGTTCGTGCAGGTACCGTGACGTGCCTGCTTGTCTTGCTTATATCTTTTCCTCGAGTCAAAGCCCAGGGACGAGGGCTGGCAGTCCCATTGGAGAAGGTGTGATATCAAGAACGCTTGAGCTGCCGCCGTCAAGAGTGGAACCTTTTTGCCAAAAAGAAAAAGTGGATGTCTCTGCGTCCCCACGGCCAGCGACGGAGGCCGATTTGTCCTTCTATGTTGGTCTTAGCCCCAAGATTATTTGTGCCGCCAAGGACCTTTACACCGCGATTATGTGAGGGCCAATGAGGAGGCTGTGCCTGATATGAATGGAGGGTCAAATGTCGAATCATGAAAGCATACTATAGTACGGTGCAATCACTGGTCCCAAACACCTCGTATAGTCGACCGTTACTCCAAAGTCTGCGAGTCCCTCGGTCATAGCCCGGGGAGGGGGGGCGCACTGGAGCGGCCGTTAGAGTTAGTACATAGGAGAAGCAACCCGTCAGGCCCAGAAGAATCACATGCTTCCAAAGCAGGGCCTGCCCACCCCATTTGATCAAAGTTCAGATCTACTATTGATCCTGGTTCAAGTGACGCTATGGCGGCATGACCTTGCAGGCCTGCATATTGTGGCCGGGGTCACACAAGCTCTAATAACGTAACCAGTTGGCCAAATTCCTTGGACCAAGTCCTTGTGTGCTCAGCTAGGCCTGTGTATACGTATGTGTCTTCCCCGCTTTCCTTTTTACCCTCACACCCCTCAAAAGACCAAGGATCGAGGGAGGAGGATGATAATGTTCCTTGTCAAGGTAGGAAAATTATGGATCGGTCGGTCGAGCTGAAAAAGAAAAATGACATGCCCCCTGGCAGGATGTCTTCTTATCTCTTGTGAATAGACTTGTCCATCTTCTAGGCCGTGTGGACCAGGCCATAGACGAGTTGTGCCGAAGTTTGCTGCAGCAGCAAGACGTGAGAGAGACACGCAAGAGGAGTATTTCCTTTTGGCCCCACACCGGCAGGACAATTTGACAAGAAGCGGAGCCCGCGGGAGCTTTCGACCTGTCACCGTAGCGAGGGTGGAGGCAGCCTCCCGGTAGATCACCCGGCATTCCTCACCAGATTTGGTAGTCTCACCGACGGTAGATCCGGGTTTCTAAAAAACAAACCCAGGCTCAGCAAGCGGTGGAGGCCGAGCGCCGGGTAGGAAGAAAGGGGTGGTGGGTGGCTATTTGACTTTCTTTTAACCCTCAGCTGCAACTTTCAAATAGTTCTGCTCCATTTTAAGATTAGAGACGATAAGTATGCTCTGCCCAAGCACTTTGCCCCCATTCGCGCTTGGAGGTGCAGGTGGGTAACACCGACGGTCCTTGAGAGATCGTCAAGAATGTGACCCTTCCACTCCTCAGCTGTCTCCAGCGACTTCGGCAAGCCTCATCCGAGACAGTGTCCAGCTGTACAACACTATACTTCAGGTCTCGGGGTTCCCAGAGAAGAGGGGGCTTAGGGGAGGCAGGAGAGAAGGTGGTAGGTAGACACTTTGGGTCACACGTAGTGTGTGACACTTAATTACCGACTCGGACTAAGGATACGGCAGGTTTTCAATTTGCATGCAATTCTTTTTCCTTTAGGGTCTAGGAGAAGAGCGAAAGCAAGCATGTGCTTCGCAAGTCGTGCACACAACTACGAAGCGTTTTTTTTATTATTATATGAAGCACCTCAACTCAATTTCTTCTTCAGGTCATAAAAGAGTAGGAAAAAGAGAAGAAGAACAGCCTGAGTTAAGGTGCTTCACGTAAAGTTTCGGGCCAGCGTTCCCAAAACCTTGCCGTGGTATTACCTGCTAGATAATTGCGGGTGCATTCTACCACAGTAGATGCCAGGTGCCGGCCCCCGCCGCCTCATATTAATGATTGATGAAACGTTAAATACGATTCGCCTATAACGATGGACACTCGAATGTGCAACAAATACTGCTTTCATACCCAAGAACTGTCTCGCTTCAAGTTCACATCGACTTCACACTCAAGAGCATATTTGGAGAGGTGGCCAAGTGTTTACCTGGCTCACGGAAACGGTTGGTCGATTTTGTGTCCTGGCGGCGGTTACCGGCCACAGATATAGACAGAGAGGAGAGAGAGAAATTCTCATCGCTGGTACACAAAAGGCGCTCCAAGAGGCATGCCCGCCTTCGCCTCAGCTCTTTTCCGATGGCTGCTGTCGATCACGCCCGGTAATTTTGGGCCAGAAATTAATCCAAGCTGCACTCTCAATACATCCCAGCATGACAAGACCGGCTGCAAGCCAGAGACGCGTCCTACGACTGAGGCCGAGGCCGCTGAGGCTGAATTTGGGGATTTCGGTGTCATTGACGTTGAATTTGTTGTTGGGTCCGGTGTTCTTGGACGTAGAGAAGGCGCTGCGGCTGCGGCGGACAGTCATGATCGGAGTGTTAACACCTGTGGCCCGCAAGGTAGCAAGCATATTCGGCTTGTTGAGAATATGGCGAAGCATTGGGGATTTGACAAGTTGAACAGTGGCCATTTTGAAATCTTTTGACGAAAGAGACGTTTCGAATTGGCCATGCATGCCTGACAACTCTTGTCGCTTGTCGGGGCTGTCGAGTATTTTAACGCGGAGCGAACCGTTATGCTTACAAGTTCCCCCGAGACCAGAACGTAAGCATCCTCCAACACAAGGAGGAAATTCAATCCGTTCCGTAGGCACATCCAGGCCCTGAGATCAAACCAAGCTGTGTTGCATAACGGTTAGGATCGATTGATCGTCAAGGGTCGGAAGGGTTTGCGAAGCTTCTGCAGCGCTGCAGCTCCATCACGAGGAGCTACTAGGCCTGGAGGGCGCTTGACACCAACATGTGTTTTCTGCATGTTCATTGTCGTGTTATGGAGGCTCGCCGCCGGACGTGAAGCTGTAGATTGGGATCCCACAGAACCAGGTCCCTCGCGACACTCCTGTGGCGTCATGTCACCAGCTTCAGCTTCGTTATTTGGTGTCGTGGGTCTTGGAGGCGAACTGGAGAAATGCACATATCGTCCCTTCGAACCTGGTGCCCCTAGTCTCGCCGCCGTGGGCTTCGGCTTTGAGATCGGGCCTGGACGTACTCTATGAGAAGACAGCTGTGGTTCGATCGCAGGGCGGTTGAGTCGGCCCTCTTCTGCGTTCTTGGGTCTTGAGACACGAGACTCCAACTCCATACGCTGCAAACCTGAGTGCGAAAGACCCGGATTTTCCTGAGGTCCTTTCACAGATCGCCCCTTGACAAAGCTGAGCAGTGTGGTTTGACCTCCTGTAGGAGCCGCCTTGCTCTTTCTGGGGCCTCGGTTCACTGCTGCGCCACCGGCGGGATCGAGTGAACCAAGGGTAGCTTGGTGGGAGCCAGAAGTGACGAAGCCGAGCTGGGAGGCCATGGTGAATGTCGGCTGCTGCTGCTCCATCGTAGTCGAGTAATTCCTTACCCACACCAGCTCCTCGTTGCCCTGTGATTCATGCGTTGGGCCGGTCAGCCGTGGCCGTTTCCTCCGAGGCGCTTCAGACGAGAGGTCATCCCATAAAGGATTGATGCCCATCTCATATTGCTGTGACGCAGGATCTTCGGGATACAGATCGTCACTTGGACTGAATCCACCAGGCAGACCGTCGTATATCAACTGCTGAGTCGGAACCTGGCGCCCAAGAATCCTCCCAATCATCTCCAGTCGATGGCATTCGAGTTCAGGCCCGATCCTGCCAAAAAGTTTCGCGACAGGTTCGAGGAAAGTTGATAACTCTACTTCGGCCTGTCCACCATACGAGGTGCTCACCAATGGGCAGCTAATGTACAACAAAGCTTTCGCCCGTGTCATCGCCACGTACAAAAGCCGGCGCTCCTCATCTGTGTCATCGGAGCGCATGTGAGGGATGGATCCATTGTAGGCTGCCGGTATGAAAACAACAGGCCACTCGAGACCCTTAGCAGCATGGATGGTAGAGATGGTGACCATGGGCGTCGAAGCCTGATCCTGACCTTTATTCTGGGCGTCTGAAGCCAGCGAGACGTTGGCCAGGAATCTGGCAAGAACGTCGTCGTCTTTGGTCTGATGCAGCCCATCGATCTCGGGCAGGTCGTCTTCCACGTCAATGTTCCCATCTCCGATGAAGTCACTTCCAAGCGCCCGGAACTCTTGCACATTGGCCCACCTCTGTTCGTACTCATCGCGGTATGAATCCTGAAGGTATTTCTCGAACGAGAGCCTCGCTAGGACATCATCAATGATGTCGACCAGGGTGTAAGGGCACTGGTCTGTCGGCTGTCGGGCCTTTTTCTGTATGTCAAGAACCAGACGGATCAGTTCACCGCTGATCCTCTGCTCAACTGTCTTCTTGATACTGGTCTTGGCGGCTCGATCACCTCGACAGTGTCTGGTCAGCAGGTTCCAGAGGCTCAGAGACGACCGCTCGGCTTCCTCGAGCAGGGCCTTGATTGTGGCATCTCCAAGGCCGCGCTTGGGTACATTGATGATCCTTGCAAGGGCATCATTGTTTTCCGGTTGGTGAATGACCCTGAGGTAGTCGAGAAGGACCTTGATTTCCGCTCGCTCGTAGAACTTGAAGCCACCGACCATCCTGTACGCAATTCCTGCCTTGCCGAGGGATGTCTCGAGATGTCTAGACAGCGAAGCCGATCGCAGGAGAATGGCTATATCTTCAGGTCCGATCATGCGCCCCGACATCATCTGCGTACGACGTATTTCGGAAACTATCCACGAGGCCTCATCGGCTGAACTCTTCAGGCGTCTCAATGTAGGCCGAGTGCCTTTGTCATGGACTGGTCTGAGCACCTTCTGGTACCTCTTGGCGTCCTGCTGGATGACACTCAGGGAGGTGTCTAGGATAGCCTGCGAGGAGCGGTAGTTCTCCTCGAGAGAGATCTGGTCAGTCTTCGGAAAGTCATCAAAAAGTCGCCTCAGGTTGGCGATCTCCGCCGACCGCCACCCGTATATACTCTGATCCGGATCACCGACTATCGTGATCCGGTTCCTTGTCTGCGCGAGAAGACGCATGAGGTCGTACTGGACCCCATTTGTGTCTTGATACTCATCGATAAGCACGGCCTCGATGTTAGACACGCAGGCGGGGCGCTTTTCGAGGAGTTCCACGCAGCGGACAAGCAGATCGTCGTAGTCGAGAAGGTTTGATCTCTCGAGGTGATCTTGATACGCCTGGTAGCAGGTCTCAAACGCCCTCGAGCCTTCTGCTGCCTCGCCGCTCCGCTTTCGCCTCAGTGGGGTGGGCTTCCACTCCTTGCCCTTGGCCTTCCTCTTGCTGATCCACGCCCGGGCCTGAACAGGATCAATGCTGAGCTGCAGACGCTTGCAGACGCGAGTAATGATGGCCTTAGAGTCTGCGTCATCGGCAATGCTGAATTTCTGGTCCAGGCCAATGTGTCTGCCATATGCGGCCAGGTACCGACGGGCGATGCTGTGAAAGGTGCCCAAGACAAGCTTACTCCCGCGAGCATGGCCCAAGGCCCTCCCTATACGCTCGCGCATCTCACGGGCAGCTTTGACGGTGAAGGTGGCGACGACGACGTTCTGAGGTTGGTAGCCGAGGGCATCGACGAGCCAGACAACACGCGAGGTCAGGGTGTGGGTTTTGCCGCTCCCAGGGCCTGCCATGATGGCGACCGTCGAAGCCTCTGAGCAAACTGCCCTGCATTGTGCATCATTCAGGTTGTCAAGAACGGTGGAAGAGCCTGGCTGGACCGACGGTGAAGCAGCAGCAGCAACCGCAGCCATGGTCCCATGGATGATCAAGCGCAGAAGCAAACAAACAAATCCAGCAGCCGTACCAAGTCTCGCTCCTTGTCACACGGCAGCAACGAGCAGAGCCGAACTGAGATTGCAGAGATGCTCCAATGGAGATGGAGGCTTGAATCATGCCACTGTGAAGGCTCTCGGACTGGCCTATGTTTCGAGAATATTACTTGTGTCGCGTCCTGTCGCGTGTGTCGAAGGCCGTCATAGTCACAGTATCGCAGGCACTTGGCACGGTACTCGCGCGATCAGCTGCTTCTCCTGCTTAGCTAATCAAGCAGGAACGTACACACTGTATAGCACCTGCTGTATGTGCTATGATACCATGCACGAGGCAGGCGCGACTCATCCTCGTCTGCACATTTGACTTTACACGCTAATAAACCACAAGCAGGGGTCACTCTCTGGCTGATCTGAGCTGTGTTCAGTCTTCTGGCGCTGTACTCATTCGACAGGACAGGACGTGATAGCATCACATCTTGACCAGGAAATGCAGTTCAAATGCAGTCAGCAAATTTCTGCCACAGTGTTGTTTCTGTTTCCTCGAGAGAACCATGACCAATCACAACCTTGATCACAAATTAATCACACCCTCTCTACCAAAGAACAACCCAACCAGTCCATCACAGCACCCATGCATTCAACAGTTGCAAGCAATGGGTGATGTTCTTCCATACCAAGAGGTGCAAGATCTTTCAAGATATCGGGAGTGTGATAGCTCGTCCAACTTAACAATCAACACATGGCCGGTCACCAGTCACCCACCAGTCACAGTGGAGACCCAACAGAGGAGGCACTGCAGTCTATCACCTCACTAATCCGAGATTCACTGCTGCGAGGTGTTCCTGCCCGTCACATGAATCGCCAAGGGAGCGAAGGGGGGATCCTGCTAGCTCAATGGTGCTGCTGAAAATGAGGTGCAAGAGGGAGATGAAGGCACTGGTAGGGGTTCGCTTGCAGATCGCTCTCTGATGGGATTTGCTAACCCAACTGCACAACCAGATTTTACCGTGGTACTGTCAGGGTAGAGCGAAGAGGCCACCCAATGGACATCGAGACCCCCTAGTGATTCCTCTGGGCGAGCTGCAATATCTAACGGGCGGGGAACATCAGCCACACCAATCAGACACGACCCGCCATGCCTGCTCGGCGCTTAGAAGTGCATGGCCCCCTGCCGCCTTTATCCAACCACGTCCCAGATCGAGCACATCACCATGCTCTCCCGCCTGCACGTTCAACGTGGGGTTGCGATCGCCACCCGCATTCGACCAGTGCGATTCGACGAGATGCCTGTCTGGCCCTGCAGCAGCCGCCGGTGCTTATGTGCCTTGTGCCTGACGGCACAAGTTCGACAAGTGAGAGCCCTCGTCACACCCTGGCGGCCCTGCAGGGCCTGGCTGGTGGCCGACAATCAAAAAGCCGGCGTGAGGACCGCGGAGCGGAGGACCCAGGAACTGGTCCATCCCGCTCCCTCACCTTTGCAACACCGCCGTATCAACAGCCGCTATATACCCAGCCCTCACTCTGTCTTGTCTCCTCGTGCCCCCCTCAGGAGGTTGATCATTCCTGCAAACCCCGGGCTGCACTCGACCTCACAATATCACAATGCGACTCGACCGCATGAGAGCTTGATCCACTGTCGTCTGGCTGGGCATCTCTCCCTCACTCACCTCAGAACTTCAAATAGCCGTGGCCCCAACTTTGGCTAACCTCATCATGCCCACTGGCTTCATCACCCACGAGAAGTCGCTCTCTATCCTTCTACTACTGTTGTTCCCTTCGCTTCTCCTTAGAGCTGTTGTTGTTGCCGCTGCTACCGTGCCACCATCGTCAGGTGAGCAGGTCGAGCCGAGAAAATACGATCCTCTTGGGATCGACTGGAACCCCGCGCCGCCACCAGACAAAGGACCTCCCGGTGCTGCCAACGCTATCCGGAACCCAGCATACCTGCCAGCAGAGATTGGTGCCATTGTCGGGTCCTACGCCTTCTCCCTGGTGGTAGTCGCCCTCCTCCTCCTTGCCCTGTCTAAGAAGCGTCGAGAGCGACTGCGGGCTTCAGAGGAACTCGACCTGTGGGAGGAACACTACTACGCCTCGAAGATCCCAGAGCCAGAGTCGGCTATCCAGTCTCAACAAGAAGCCCAGTGGGAGAAGCCACCCCCACCATTTCCGGTTCCTCACGAGCTGCCCAAGAGTCCCACCCGCGGGCACGTTCGCAACTTCTCGCTCCCTTCGCCCACATCTACGGGCTTCCAGATCCCCAACCTTCAGCTCCAGGAACCGCAGGCCACCTCGCCTTCTTCCTACTTCCTACCCTCGCCCACCTCGACCAACAGAGGCGCACCCGGCGTAGACCCAGACGTTGACCAGCACGTGGTACAGAAGGACAGAGCCATGGCGCAGGCACAGCTCGAGCAGATGTACAAGTACGTGATGGAGCAGGAGGAGGCCAAGGAGGCGGGCGTCGAGTTCCAGGCACCCGTCCTCCCCGCCCCTGCACCGCAGCGGGCTTCGTCGTCGACCACATCATCGTCCAGGAAGGAGAGAAACAAGCCCGCCAACCTGAACCTCAGCAAGGCTGAGAAGAAGGAGTCGCGGACCTCGTCCATCCTGTCGGCCCTCAAGTCGCCGCGCAAAAAGAAGCAGACGGCCCCGATGAGCATCTCTTCACCCATCATGACGCCTATGTCGGGCACATTTCCACAGTACACCGGCGAGGAGATGAACGCCATTCCACCGCGGCAGTACGCCCCGGCCAGACCCCCACCTGTTCCCACCGACCAGCTCCTCCCCATGCGCAACGGCGCCCACATGGCTCCGTTGACGCCTCCGGACGATATGTCTCCGGAGAGCACACAGAGCATCGATGAGAGGATGATCGGCAGCATCGCAGCGATCAAGGGCAAGGATCGGAGTGCGGCGCGGAGCGGGGATGTGTCCGAGTCTGACGAGGACGAGCCTCGTGGTAGCCGAGACAAGCTGGGTCACTCCCGCCACATCTCCATGGCGACTACAGAGGCAGATCCTGTGTCCGCCGTCTCGGAGACCTCGCAGTCCGGCTTGATTCGCAACGCCCAGCCGACCTCCGGTCTACCTACATCCCCCAAACCCGGTGTAAACAGATTCCCATCTCTGCCCTCGTCTCCGAAGCCAGGTGCTTCCTTCTCGCGCCCGAACGCGCCCTCGGCCGTCCGTACCGGCGGCGCCCTCCCGCTACGTGCTTACGAGCCCGGCCTCATGTCGCCCAACACGTACGATCGCTCCGTCAAGCAAACGGTCTTTGAGCGTGCCGGGCCCATGTCGCCAGGGGGCATGCACACGGCCCGGACGCCTCTGACGGGAAACCCGGTCCCGTACTCACCATATCAACCTTTCTCACCCGTGATCCCCATCACGCCGAGCCTTGTGACCAAGGCGGACCGGAAGAGGATGCGCAGGATGGAGCCCAAGACACCGACACTGCAGATGGTGGCGAGCGATGAAGAGATATGGTAGGCTGACAGGCTGGCTGGCAAGTTGGTCAGAACAGAGAAGAGGAAGAGTCCTTGTATGAAGCCCCCGCCTAGCCAGGCTGCTGCGGTCGAAACTTTCTTCTCGTGTCATTCCAGCCACGTCATGTCTGTGTAATGACTTTGAACGGTTTTCTTTATTCATATTTTCTCCTGTTTTCTTCTTCCCTATTGACGGGAATTGGCCTCGACGGACTGGTCGGGGTTTGGATTCGCTTGGCTTTCCATCATGATATGACCGCTGAAGACCAGAATTATGCTGTCATGCCAATGCCTCGTGGCTTCTAAAGCATGATGAGCAACGCTCAGGAGATAGACATGTGTACGAAAAAGAGTACACCGGCTGAGCCGTTTCGAAGGATGGTTCTGATTTGTCAGTATCTATTAATTCTTGTTCTGATTAAACTTTTCTCCTTGGATCAATATGAGGGTCAACGCTAGTTAAGTATGCATGTTGTTCCTCTCAGAGTGTGATGCATCAAAGACGTAAGGATATATGTACGGCTCAAGGGTCGATTCCTTCAAAGAAATGGGGACACCATGGCGTTGTCTGGGCACATCGCCCAGGGCAGATCCTTCATGAGCAGCGGTAGATGCGTGACAATTTATGATTGATCTCCCCGCTCTCCGAGCTTCCACCGCGCGCCTGGGTGAAGGCTTTTTTTGCTGCGGTGCAGCAGGATGAGGCCAAGTAGAGTGAGAGTACCCTTCCGCCACCATCACAGGGTGGGAATCTGGTTTGTTCAACTACCGTAGCTGGGCAGTGGCCGTCTGTGCATGGATGAGTAAGACAATCCACCAGCGTCTCTTGTTGGGAGGGGGCAGGGGCCCAACGTCTCATTGACTGCCGGATCAACAAAATTTACCTTTTCTGCTTGTAAAGTGAAATTATAGAGAGATGCTGGCAGCACATCACAAATATTCTATCATACAATGGTACTAGGATATGGCAGTACATTTTACCTTTATCATAGTAACAAAGTAGTCATCAGAGTAACCATGCTTTTTCGACAGGGGGCGTTGACGCACACGTATGCACACATGTATATTTGGCTGGCCACACTAATCGAAATGTCCGCCCGGGGAGTATTGCGCAATATTCCCCGAACCAGGGTTTCGCCGTCTCTGGGCAAAACCCTCAAGATGAGACACGTACTACGTACATAGCGCTACTATAGTAATAAGGAGAGCATCCAAAGGAACAATCTCCAGCTGATGCAGCTACCTGGAGAGAAGAGTCTACTTTCTCGCGATGAGACAGGAAATAACGCAGTGTCTGCCTGCCTGCCTGCCCGATGAATTTAGCTTATTGGTAGTCTGAGAACAACCGCATCAAAACTTCGGGAACAGAATCGAAAAGAGCCACGGCGCTCCATCGTACAAGAGATGACGATGGAGGTCGAGGCTGACAGCCAGGGGCCAAAAAAAAAAAAAAGAGGAGAAGGGCATAGGCCGAGATACGGGAAGAAGGCTATTGAGAGGCTAACGACAGGCACATCTCCTGATACGATAGAAGACTTATCCTCGTTTTCCTGCTCATCCTGAAACAAAAATCCTCCAACGCGATTGGCGAACAGTTGATAGAATTCGGTTGGTGGTAAAAAACAATTCACCAACGACAGTCCGGGGGGGCGGTGGCATGGTGCCGAAGGCTAACAGAAGGGCGGCGGCGAGGAGAAGCGGTAAAGGAAATAAATGGACGCAATGTGGCAAAGATTTAAAATGTCTGGAGGGGGTGGGGGGTGTATTCATTTCAGCTGAATGAGAAGGACGGGTTCAAGTCGATGGCGTCGCAAGCCCCGGATTTCAGCAGTATTAGTGGTTGTGGTGGTGGTGGGGGAAGGGGCAAGTGTGTCTCGGGCATTGACCACCTGGATCTTGACCTTGGACCTTGAATCCTTTGGACCCGAGTCTGAAGTCCGACCTTGGCTTCTGGATTCTGAGCTTGGACTCTGGATCTTGGGTCTTCTTGGCTCTCTCTGGCTCTCCCCCCCTCTGTGTTGTGCGGCCAAGAAGGTTTGTTGAGCATTTACTCAATTTCCTCTCTTTACCAAAGTCCAGCAGCGCACACATTGGCGGACACCTCATATTCGTCAATATATTAGTATAAGGTTCTGGAAAACCTAGGTCCCGAGGAGGGAGGTGATTCAATGGCTCTTTTTGCCATTTCTGTTGCCAGGAACTGCCTGCGAAGAAGGAAAGGGTAGGGGGTTGAGAGGTGAAAGGTTGATGCGGAAATGATCAGCAAGCAATGAGGCAATGAGGCAATAAGAGGGGAAAAGGAAGAGGACAAAATCCTTGCCAGCTCTGCCATGCCACGCATGCTCAGGCGGGTAAGCCTGAGCCGATAAGGTTCAGGGGGTTGATAGGTGACAAGTGATGGGTGATGATGCACTGACGGTGGTGTAGGCAGGCTGGCAGGCTGGATACTATAGACTGCCTCATCATAGTGCAGGTGGGTGGTGCATATCAAGAGCATAGCACGACTCGGTAATTTCCTTAGTATTACACGTTCTATTACAGCACCACGGTGAAAAACAGAGAGTAACCAGCCAGCCACATGCGATCTGGATCAACCCTGACACGGCTGCTACTGAGGACCTGGGACCCCCCCTGGAAGATGTGGGATGGAGGGGCCAGCTAGACGTGCTAGGGACTCCCCCCCCCCCGGGTTCAAGTCAGTCTTCAGCTTGTGTCCAGTTAGGAGCTCAGAGCCAAGGACAGGCAGGACCTAGCGGGGCAGGGGAGGGCCTGTCGCTTAATGATTCCCTTTTGTCGCCTCGGCAGCCTCCGCCAGGGTCCTGCCCCAAGACTCCTCCCCTCCCCCCAAGCAAGAAAACGTCAAAGCCCATTTCTGAGGCTGTCTTCCCGCTCCGGGTGGTCTGATCAGCTTCTGTTCTCTTTTCTTTCTCGTACGATCTACCTGCCCATGCTCCTCTCTCTGTCTCGTCCACGATCCGACCGACCGACCGACTTGATCACACACTGGCCACAGGCAAACCAGGCCACGATCTCGTACGGATACCCGCAATTCTCCGCCTGCTGCCCATCTCGCGCGCGGCACGGCGCAGGACGAGAGACACACTGCATAGTGTACAGTGCTGTCAGTCTACACCACACACACAGCTGACCAGACCTACCGTCGAATGAAACGTCTCACCGTCTGTCTGACACCACGTACCGTCCGTCCCCTACCATCTCTGGGCCCCCCTTCCACCCCCCACCCCTGACGGTCGTGTCCTTATCCTACTCTGGCCGCATCCGACATCGTCATCGGCCCATCCAGCAGGACAAGAGAGAGAGACACACACACACAGAGAGAGAGAGAGAGCCTCTCTCCACAGTCACCATCACTATCACCTCCACCGGCAGCACACCAACGCATAGTCTAGCTGCCTCGGCCTCAACGTTGACGTTGACGTTGACGTTTGGTGCTGAAGTCGAGGGGGCTGGCTAACCCAAGCTGTCTGGTGTGAGAAGGCAGCCAGACGGGTCTTCTCGCATCTGCATTAGCATAGCATCGCGGGACCAAGACTTCCACAGCAGAGCGAAGCGAGCAGAGAACAGCTGAGCTGAGCTGAGCAGAACAGAACACAGAACGAAATAGGGCAGGGCAGAGGGACCGAAAAAATCCTTTTCAATTCCCTCAGACCACGGGCCGAGACTGGACAGCCGTGCCGCCCCTGCACTGAGTCCCAACCCCCCCCCCCCCTCTTCCTCTCTCGGGCCTGTCTCTGATAACGTGGTATCGAGTGCTGTTACTGCTGCTGCTGCTGCTGCTGGACTCTGGTCAGTTTCGTCAGGTGGCAAGCACGTGGTATGCTCCTCGGCATATATCGTGTTGTCTGGAGAGCCTCATCGTCATCCACTACAGTCTAGATCAAGGGCCTGCCAGTCGGGAACGGACCGAGCTGAGACCGGTACCATAGTGACCAGCCCTCGACTCGAGTCCCTGCTCCATCCTGACCACACACGGCCCATCTCCCTCCCATCGCTTAGGGCAGTCACGCGTTCATGTCGAACCACTCTTGCATAAACGCAACCGCCTAAGCAATACCTCCGCAGCATCGCCCGTCTGGGCCACCACCCGGCACCCTCCGTCTTCCCAGCCAAAATGGCAGAACAACAGCGGGATCCCCAGCCTTGGGATGCCGGCCTCGATACAAACTTCGATTTTCGGTCCCACGACCCCCACCACCTCCCAGCAGCAACATCAGCCCCAAATTCCGCTTCAGCCTCCTCCTCCGGCCCAGTCTCTCCTCCCAGTTATCAGATCCTCAACCGCACCGCCGCTCCTACACCCGATACAGACCCTATCACCTCGACTGGCCCCGAGCCGGCCTTTCCCGACTTCGGTGCGAGCGCTGCCTGGGCCGACCAAAATCAATTCACCCCCCCTCTGGGCCCCAGCGACGGGGACTCTCTCGATGCCCTGAACCTCTTTCCCGACAACTGGAACGTGCCCACTGCCTCCTTTCTCAACCAGAATCTCCAATTCCGCCCGCGGCCAGACGGCCGGGAGCCCTCCAGCGCCGATCTCTTCAGCGCCTTCTTGCAGAGTGCTGCTGCTGTTGCCAACAGCCAGGGACTCGACTCTGCGTCTCGCCCTGCTCCTGTCTCTGCCGCCATGCCGACTCTGACGCCCGCCCAGCAGGAGCAGCTGAGAAACATCGCCATGCCGCCGCACCTCCAGTACCAGTCGCCAAAGAGCGAGCCCAGCCAGCTGAGCCCTCAGTCGAGCTCTGGCGAGGGCCACAAGAATCTCTCCCCCGACCCGTCCAAATCTGGCAGTCGGAAGCGGAAGTCCTCGGCGGACGACGACGATCTGGATGACGACGAGGATGAAGATGGCCAGCAACCCGTCAAAAAGACCGCCCACAACATGATCGAGAAGCGCTACAGGACGAACCTCAATGACAAGATCGCGGCGCTAAGGGACAGCGTGCCGAGCTTGCGGGTGCTGTCCAAGAGCGCGCGCGGCGAAGACACCACCGAGGACAGGGAAGAACTGCATGGCCTGACCCCAGCTCACAAGCTCAACAAAGCTACAGTGAGTGCTGCCAAATCGGACTCTGGCATCTCCAGTCTCCTCGTTCTGTTTGACTGACATACATGGGCACAGGTTCTGAGCAAGGCAACCGAGTACATCCGCCACCTGGAGAAGAGAAACAATCGTCTCACCGACGAAAACAACACGATGCAGCAGAGGATCTCCGCATTTGAAAAGTTGTTCATGGCGAGCGCTATGAACGGCACGATGAGCCCGATCCAGAACCAGAGCAGCAGCATGCAGTTTGGGCAGGACAGCGCGCAGTTTATGAACACGCCGGTAGGCACCCCGAGGGCCCTGGATCCACAGGGCATGATTCCCGTGCCCGATGACATGAAGCGCATCATCAGCGCCCAGCTGGCGGCAGGACGGCCTTACCCCGTGCCGCAGCAAGGCTTCCAACAGACTCCCGCCGTCATGCGACAGCAGCAAATACAGCAGCAACAGCAGATGCAGAACAACCGGTGGCAGAACGCTCCCTTCTATGGCAAGTTCATGGTTGGCTCCTTGGCTGGCCTCATGTTCGTCGAGTCCCTCCGCGAGAGAGAGCAGAGCAATGCATCCCCCGAGGGCCGTGGTCTATTCGCCCTGCCAATCCACCTGTTAGGCCGTCTGGTCTCGGAGTCACATATCAGCCTAGCCGGACAGCAATACTCTCTCGCCCATACCATTTCCACTCTCAAATCCCTCCTACTCCTTGGCACCCTACTCTGGGTCTTCGCGCCGTCCCTCTTCGCACCGAGACCTCCTAAGACGCAAAAGTCCCAGCTCAGCAATGCCGCTCTTCAGGCGGTTCCGTCGCTGGCGTCGCCCATCAATGTCAGGAGGCAGGCGTGGCTCACGGCCATCCAGACCGTCTGGGTGCCGCGCCATAATTTCTTCCTTGAGGCGGCCGCGCTGCTCTTGAAGACGATGAAACTCAGCCTGCGAAATACCATCGGTATCCACGGTTACCAGATGCTGACCGGACTGACTGAAGAGCGAGAGACTGCGCGCGTCAAGGCCTGGACCATCGCGTTGGACGCGCAGCTGGCTGGCGGCGATATCGAGATCAACCAGAGCCGCCTGACCCTGACACTGCTTGCGTCCCGAACCCTGCCCGACACACCACTGCGGCTTATGCTGAGTGCTCTGCACATCCGCATCCTGTTCTGGCAGCTCGGCAACCAGGCGCTCCACAACATACTGGCAGCCAAGTTGGCCAGGTCCAAGTGGAACGAGGCGAGGCAGTTATACCGGCTGACGAACTCCCTCCGCCGGACCGAGCCGCCTTCTCCGGATGACGAGCTTCCAGACCACCTGGCGCTCCTCGTCGAGCAGAGCTGTGACGATGTTCTGAACGAGATCATTGTGCAGCGCGCGCATAACCTAGCCTTCAACCGTCCGACGACTCACGATGTTGATGAAGACGTCGACGGCATGGATGCGGTCGTCGAAGACCCGGCTGTACGGTCCCCTATGGATGCCGTCGCTGCCTGGTGGTCAAGCCTCATGCTACAGCGGGTGCTATCCGCCAGCCTGGCGGGTGCAGAAGACAGGAGTGAGCAAGACGAACAAGTCCTGGCCGATGATATTCATACGGCCATCAAAGTGGCGCCTATCGGCTCCAATGCTCAACTGCGGGCGCTTGTTGCCAGGGCGTTCCTCTCTGACGAGAAGCGAGGTGCCAACATCGCCGCCGTCTTGAAAGCGCTGGGCCCGAGCCAGAATCCAGATAAACACCCGCAGTATAGCAAAGGCGTGCCGCCTCTCATTGACGCACCCTTGTCTTCGATCGCACCTGACCCAGATGTGCAGCTCGCGCTGCGCTGTGCCATGGCCATTGCGCACCTCCAGCGCTACGAAGTCCCACCACCCAGCGCCCTGTCCGTGGTTGACAGCATTTTACCTGCTTCAACCGAAGGAACCGAAGGCCTGTCACTGCTGGGTTGTACCGCCGCCTTCCAGCTCATGGATCGCCTGCACCAACATCCTGTCGCGGCGGAGACCTGTTCCACTTCACTCGAGCGCCTGTCAGGCACCCTGAGGATATGGATTGGAAGTCCAGACGACGACAGGCCCGGCCTCGACCGCGACCTCCGGCAAAAGATGGTCAAGCGGTGTGTCAACGTGACCAAGAGTGCCATAGGCATGGAAGAGGACCAAGGATATGCGACTATGACGGACTGTGAGAGTGACGATAGTCTCTGTGACGTCGCTACGTGAGTAGTGTGTTTGACATGCGCACGGATTGTTTCCTGTCTTTTCTTTTCTTTTTTTCCTCCCTGTCTCTTGGTCGTGTAGACATATATACTCAAACGCTTGGTTCTCTGTACATATTGCATCTGTGGTTGGAAGGCACTCTGCGGAATTGGTACCTGCTTAATGGCCTCATGGAACACAAAAAAAGGGTTGTAAAAGGCATTCGGGGCCTGGAGTTTTATCATCGGCGCATATACCAATCCGCCGACTGATAGGTAGGACCTTGTCTTATGAATACAGTGTGTGGCATCGTTGTTGTACCTAGTGGACCTTGTTTGTGGTTGGTTGGTTGGGAGCAAGCGGGCCTATGATCAAGATGAAGTGTTGTTCAATTTATGGTATTTTCTTGTTAAACTGCAATCTCAACGGCAGCTTCGCACCTCATCCAGTTCAATCAACTAAACAACCCTAGTGTAACTATTCCCAATTGATGGTACCCCTTCCCTTGTCTTTTCCTTCTCTCCTTTTTGTTTCTTTTTTCTCCCTCTCCAAAGATGCTCTTAAGACCTTCCACATACCATGCCAGCACAAACCTAATCAAGTCGTATGGGGGGTCGTCTGTTACAACGAATACCCCCAGGGTGTGAGCTGTATGTTATACTATGTGGCAGGGACTACTGATACCGATCCTTCCTTCCATTGACTTGATCCCCGGCCCCTCTCCACCTTCCCTCCTGCCTTGTATGATTTAACCTTGTGCCGTGTCTTTTCCCCTTTTCCAAGCAGGCAATGAAAATTTCTAACTTCCCCAGCCTTCGCAAACTCTTCCTGCTGAGCCAAATGCCCATGAATCTGTCAACACCCTAGGCCTATCGTCTTACCACAAGCAACCCGTACTCGTTTTATGTCTCATCTTATCTGCACCAGGAGTATGCTTCGAAAGGAGGCTGCCGCCACGGACACACCTTTGGCTATGTGCACGGCACATATTTCCCTACAGCGTTTGCGGCCCTCATCTTGGAGCATTACCTTAACCCCTGCACCCGCCTCGGTTGAAGGTTCCTGTCCACTCGGGACATACAAGACTGCAGTGGGCGCATCTTTGTGTGAAGATGCAAAACCCCCTGGGACAGCGCAACGTCGCCACGCATGCATGGTATTACCTGCTGCTGTTGTGTTATGTGCTATGACTGCCACTAGGTACCCTATACCTCCGTATTCAGGCGGACTAAGGCGGCTCGGATGCGGGAGCGGGAACATTGGGCATGAGGCGTGAGCAGTTTTCCCCTGCAAGGATACGCCCTCACACACACTTGAGATTAAACTTAGATCTCTAATAAGGCACCATCTCCTTTCGCCAAGGATTGCCCCTCAACGTCGAATCGGTTTGAGTCCTGGCGGAGGCGCGAGTCCAGGCAACTAGCTATGCATCGAATGTCTCGGCCTATATATTCTTTTCAACCCGAGTTACATGTTCTGATGTCGCACGCGCACGCGCACGCTCACGCGCACCGCAGTAGCCTGAGACCATCAAATCGCCCTCTTGGGCTTACCAGATGCCAAGCTACCAGATGCATGTTGGCTCACACGACCCGACCAGGGGTGGAGGGGAAGAAGGTGGAGTCTTGTCCGGCTATGAGTGTCTTGACGTTCGGTTCCCTGGAACTATACCATGGTCCGGCTCTCAGCATAGTTGACTTTTCATTTCTTGGCATGAACTGAGCGAGAAGCCTCTTGTGCAGCCTGACCCTCTTCTCGATAGAGAACAGAGCCCACCTCCACCGCACCCCTGGTTTATTGTTCAGCCGGGTTTATGCCACATCCGCCTCCGTGCAACGTCCTGGCTGAGTATTTGACTGACGTCTTGAAGGGACTTTCATGCTGTCTGAGCGGATCCGGCCAGTCAAGCTTGGTGGCCTAGGACGCACAAGTCGACGTCTCATCAATCCAGGCGGTCGATTGACCCAAACTGTCCCATCACGATCCAGTTATGCTCGCTGATGAAGGCATTCAGGTTCTGATATTGGACTTCGCGAAGTTAGTCATCTTATCATGGTGAAGAACGGGACATCTACGCGCTGGCTACCCCAAGCTGTTGAACACCGCACTGGCCGATGCGCCTGACCCCCTCTCTGCATGCAATGTATAGTCACATCGATGCTACCATAGGCTGCAGTCCTCTCCCTTTTTCTTGCGCCTCAGTTCATCGAATTATGGCAGAGCGCTCGGCCCCGGCCTTGTGCACCCCAACAGTCATCACCACCTCGTTAGGGCCTTGACTAATGCAGGATTAGAGGGCACGGCTTCTACTACCAGCAATGTTGGTGTCTGACGGGCCACACGGGACTCGTTCACGCTTGCAACACCTTGGCCCATAACAGCTTGCTTGTTACGGAAGGTCTCTATGGGCCTATACCAGTTGCATCATCTGGTGACCTCTTAGGTGCCTCTCGTGATTGTGAGAACAAGAAATCATCCGCCAGCATTCAGGCCTGAGAGTTCAGCAACTGACCTTGGTTCAGAAAGCCTGGTCATTCAGTCGATGGTTTTTCCATTCCCCTCGCAGAACGTCTCTTCTCACTTCCCGGTTCCCTTCCAACCCCTACACCCTCTTCATCATTTCTTCCACCGCCCTTCCCCTGTCCAGACCTTGTATGGTGACTCCATGCAGGTGACGAGCCGCGGGACAGACCTACCGTTGCTTGGCTACAAGCTACTGGGGGATCTGCAGTGGCCAGTCTCATGAGCACAAAGCATCAAGTAGTACTCGACATCGACCATCATCGTATTCTAGGTAGCAGGGCTATGGATGCTGCAGTCGACGGCCGTACTCCGTATAGATGTGCAAGGTTAATCAACTAATCTCCCGGGCTTGTGATCTGCAATATGCTTTCATGGTGGTAGCTTAACAGAGTAGGTTTATAAAAGTGAGCATTTCTCTCATGGCCCGAGATTATATCTTGCAGGAGCCTGGCAGCCCTTCCTGTCGCCCTGTTCCCGCAGTCTCAGTGAGGTAGTGTTAAGCAGTCATTGAAAAGCTATCACGACCTCAGACCATGCATTTGTTGCCATATTATGTGTTTACAGCCCTGGCGACGGTGTCTCAAGTGGCAGCCGTTCCTCGGGGCCCTCATATGCGAGGGACTTCCTACGATGGCCCAACAAAGAGATACTCTGGCCCTCCTGCGGCCTACACATACAACCAGACGCGAGCAGATGCCGTGAAGCAGACATTCCAGATCAGCTGGGACGGGTACTACAAATATGCCTTCCCTGGCGACTCGTTACTCCCTGTTACCAACACCTTTGAGAACGACAGGTCAGTACAGCGTACAGTGGTCCGATAAATCAGGAATTGGGTTGACTTGGTAACTGACTGATGAGGGAGTAGGAATGGCTGGGGCGCGAGTGCCATTGATGCCTTCAGCACGGCGCTGATCATGGGCAATACGGAGGTGGTCACTCAGATCCTGGACTATGTGCCAGAAATCGACTTCAGCGTCAGCTACAACGATACAGTAGTCTCACTCTTTGAAACGACCATCCGTTATCTCGGCGGCTTGCTTGCTGGTGGGTCATTGATTGTCTTTGCCTCCGGATAGAAACATGTGCCGGACCTCCCATGGTGCGCATTGTTGACCGTCATATCCTGTGATTGTTCCACATAGCCTACGATCTCCTCACGGGACCACTTGCCTCTGAATACGGCAACCTGACCTCCAAAGCCGACACCATTCTCACCCAAGCCAAGAGCCTTGGAGATAACCTGAAATTTGCTTTCAATACGGCCACTGGTATCCCGGACAACAGCATCTATCTCGACCCTCCTCGGCTCGCCAACTCTACGACCAATGGCCTTGCGACCATCGGCTCACTTGTTCTCGAGTGGACACGCCTGTCTGACCTGACTGGAGACCCCACTTACAGCGATCTTGCGAAGAAGGGCGAGTCATATCTCATCCACCCCAAAAACCCAGAACTGGGCGAGCCTTTTCCTGGTCTGCTAGGCACCGACGTCTCGATCGCCAACGGCAGCTTCGTCGATAGCCAGGGCGGCTGGACGGGCGGCACGGACAGCTTCTACGAGTACCTGATCAAAATGTACGTCTATGATCCAGTGCGTTTCGAAACGTACAAGGATCGTTGGGTGCTCGCCGTAGATAGCAGCATCAAATATCTGGCCAGTCACCCGACAAGCAGGCCAGACTTGACGTTCCTGGCGTATTATTACAACTCGTCCAAGTCTGGCATCGATTATTACTCGGAACATCGTAAGCTGGCTCATTTCCTTCTCGGGTGGTCAATTTCATACACCGGTCTCCCTTCCAAGCCCCCCCCCCCCCCTCCCTTCCCCTCCACCAAACCCTCCAACTCTCCTACCTATATGCTCCATTCTTCCGAGACCCCTTTCCCCAAATACTTGTTCCAATTGAGGCCGCCAGCAGGCTCAATGACAAAAACACTGAGTCTACAAGTGTAACTCGAGCCATGAGGCGGGCTACGCGTTGCGGAATGGGAGACAAACACGGAATTCCGGCCATGTTTGTAATCACAAGCTTTGTCTGCTGACTTTCCTTTGGGGCACCACCTTCCTGAGAAGCAAGCACAATCACACCCGCCAGCTCGCACAAAAAGGGAGTATTATGACGAGACACAGACGGGGCTGACAAACATCCAATTACTCTCCAGTTGCCTGTTTCGATGGTGGAAACTTTATACTGGGCGGTTTGACCCTCAATGAGCCTACGTATATCGATTTTGGCCTGGATCTCGTGGCCGGATGCCGCGACACCTACTACCAAACAGCCACCGGCATCGGGCCCGAGACTTTTATGTGGCTGGGCGAATACGCACCCGACAACGTGCCGGTCCCAGAAGGCGACGAGTCGTTTTACGAGCGGGCCGGCTTCTATATCACCAACGCACAGTACATCACGCGGCCCGAGGTTGTGGAGAGCTTCTACTACGCGTATCGTGCGACTGGCGACCCGAAATACCAAGATTGGGCGTGGGAGGCGTACCTGGCTATCAATGAGACATGCAGGGTTGGGAGTGGTTACTCGAGTATCAATGATGTGAACGAGGTGGGCGGCGGTGGGTTCCAGAATTTTCAGGAGAGCTTTTGGTTTGCAGAGGTGCTGAAGTATAGTTATCTGATCCACGCAGAGGTGAGTTGTGCCCCGCCCAAGGGGCTTCGTTTCATGGACAATGATATCGACAAGAGTACTGATTTGACGGTGATGCATAGGATGCTGCATACCAGGTCAAGGCCGACCAGACCAATGAGTTTGTTTTCAACACTGAGGCTCACCCGGTCAAGATTCCCGGCGGTGAGAGTAGCAAGCGGAGGAAATAAACCTTCCCGTCACCTTTATCTTATTCCCTGGGACCTACCACCTACATATGTATTAGTCAAGACGCTCGTACAGGTGGACTGGGCAGTTAGTCTCGGCTCTTGAGTTGATACTGTGGCTATGATGATCATCGAGATAAACGCGAATTGCCTTGCTGATTTCTGTTCGTCCATCCCATTGAAAACGATACCATGCCACCAGACAAAAGGAACCCCCCTCACAGTGGTCATTGGTCATCATGTTAGCGAGGAAGCTCCCGCGTGATATTTGCCTCAAGGCCTGCATGTGACGAATTACCAAATATACCATGCCACGTTATTTATATGAAATTAGCTCTTATAGAAACTTCTCTAGGGGGGTTCCAGTTATCCTTGAGGAAATCATGTCGATTATGGAAGAACGAGCCAAGTTCTACTGGCGCTCTGTGGACGAAGAGCCTGGCAACCATTACCATTTGTGAGGGTTCTTACTCCATCGTGAGCGACTACCCTTACTGAAGATACATGTGAGATGTGCCCGTCCAAATTTCAGCACTGCATCTGACCCTAATGAACGGTCCTCCAAACAATATAACACACAACTTCAACCTGACTGTGTGAGTGATATGCCGTTCTCACTGTCCGATGCGCTGGCAGCATGGGGGATTCTTTGATGTGATCCACCACACGCTGCGGTGAGTCGTGGCCCAGACTGAGCCACAGCATGTGAGCTACCTGCACTACTGCCTGAAACCATTGCCTAAGTGTTTGCTGGGTACCATGGCTCTGGCCCCTCTTGTCATCGTCCACGGCCGGTCAATGGCACTTCGTTCTGACGTGCGGTCATCGCGTCACCCAGGCGGTGAAGGACCATTTGCCCAATCGCTGACCAAGGGCTCATCAAGTAGGGACTCGGATAAGTATGCGAGCTGATATCCCCTGGTCACTGGAAACGTATCACGGAAGTGAGTGCTGCCAGCATCGGTCCGTCTCGGCGTCTCCAAGGCATGAGACTGTCTCCCAAGGGACCTCGCACGCCCCCTGCTCGCTAACATGTCGGAATCGTATCTTTGTGATGCTCCCTAATCTTTTCCATCTGAGAAGGCACCATGCTCGCACGAGAGTCTAGCGATTGGACTACCGGAACTTGAAGATCATCGTCTCTTCAGTCTTTATCTCTTGGCTGACTATACGCTAGCTTGAGCTTGATCATCCTCATATCACTAGTGACCTGAACGTGGGAGCAGGAGGCTTTGGCTGGCCACCGGGGATAAGACAGGATCTCTGCAAAGAGCCTAGGCGGTGAGTTGACGAGCTGAGCCTGGAGAGGTAATCAAGCGGTATAATTACGGTTCCGCGAGGCAAGTCTGTCTGCCCTGTCCGATTCTCGTCACTGATTACAGCTCACGGAGTCCTCTGTGCTACTCGTCCAACTATTATTAATTAGTGGGCACCCCACAGAGTCTTGCAGGTTGTTGCGATGTGACGGACTCATCTACACGTGGCTTGCATGATGCAGGCCCTGGGAATACTCAGGTACGAGGAGATGTCACATGAGCATTTCTAGACGAGGGAGAATCCCAGGCGTGCCAGTCGAATAGGGAAGCATACGGCAAGAGGACATTCATCATGATTGCTGCAACAAAACGCTGGAAAGCAGTGGATCGACCAAATAATGAATCAGGTCTCTAGGAGCTGTTGAGAATCTACCGCAGGATGAGGGCTTCGAGACCGCTTGGTGATCTACGTAACAACTGGATCAAACAAACCCAATCATTAATGTCTGGACCAACGGATGCCACTGTACGAGCGAGGATGCAGTACGAGGATCAGAACATTTGGCTGACTTGGAGCATGTAAGATCATGAGAGCCTTGAACTTTCCTGGTCGAGAAGGTGAGTTTCAAAAAGGGTCACCCAAGCCAGCCATTTCCTGCTCTCGTGTTGTTGTGGGAACTAAGGGATTGGGCAGAGCATATCCTTTTCGCTGCTATATCACGTCTTGCCTGCTGTTAGAGGTGAGTAAAGTGTAGTGTGCTGCCAAGTATTGTTTTGAGTATTTGACAAGTGAAGCTGCGGCCCAATAATTTAATTACATGCCCGGCCAAGTAGTACTGTGCAGTAAATATTCAGCAGTACTATTGGCCGGCCCGTGGCCAGGTGGCAAAAGTTCAAGCAGCAACCGCGCCCATGGTCCTTTCCCAAGGAAGAAAACCCACCCACCCCACTACTGATACCCTGGTCGACTTTCTGGCCCAGTAGTGACGAGCCAAGCTACACCAGCACATTCATTCCATCATCACGACGGTCACGTAATCACCTTCCCTCGTACATTGTTGCGGCAGCCAACACTCTCAGTCACGCTATCCCGTTGTCACTGCCTGTCACACGTCCTTCAATGTCCTTACTCTTACACTCATCCTCACACTCGTCGGTACGCTCACAAGCACCTGCTCCACCATCGCATCCTCTCATCATCGACGCTGTCTGAGAAAGCGTCAGATCAGAGCTGCAACAAGTGAAAAATATCGTCCAGCCTTGCCGCCACCACCACTGCCCAACCCCCCCCCCCTTCTCTTCACACCCAACAAAAAAAGGCCCCAGCGTCTTATTGCTGCTACGCTCAAGTTGCATCCTGCGGTTACACTCGCCACCCATTCTGTACATCCCCAGGCAGAGAAGTTATTCGTCGCGTTCGGATTTTACCCAGTCAAGCCAGTACACCTGGCATTACGCTATCGCTGTCGACATCGAATCCAAGGGAGCGTACTGCCAGCCTAATCTGGATCTCAGTCACGGGTTGGTGTCCTGACCTACCCACCGTCTCTTGCCCAGGATCTCGTCCGTGGACTCCCTCCCTGCTCTGTTGTCGTCCCTGGCATTCTGAACAGCTGCACCGGATCGTCTGGACCGGGGGATTCGACTTCCTGTTACCCTTGCCCCAGACGTGCAGCGTCTGCTCGCATCTTGGCCGCTCTCAGGCATTCCTGTGTCATCTCACGCAGGACAAAGCCACGCGGCAAACGCAGGACCTTTTTGACGCCACATCTACGACACTGTATACATCCCCCCGGCTTCGAGATGTCGATAAAGTATGTCCATCTTCCTCCGTCTTCCCATATTCCTATACTTCCTCTCCCGTTTTCCTGCATATGCCCACTCCACCTTTGTCCTCCCCCCCCCCTCTCTCTCTCTGATCTCTGCTTTTCGGCTCCACCATTAAAAAGATCGACCTCCCTTCCCCCCTTCTGTCCTGCGTGTCGCCCCTTATACCACACAGCCTTGCTACTTTTTCTTATTTCGCCATTCTCCTCATGGACCTACACTTCGGATCTCAGCTGCACCAAGCCATGATCGCAGCGAACACGCCTCGCGCCGGCGTGGCTGTTCCCAACGCGCAACTCGACGAACCATGTCTCGAGAAGCAGGCTGACCATGACTGCAGCTGGGTAATGCTCAAGCAGAACGGCGAGATCGAGCCTCTGAACGACGAGAACATAGTCCTCAAGACACCAGACCATGTGAGCCTGGAGCTGCGTGTTCCACAGGGTCTGCGGACAGACAACCCCGATTTCTCGATCAAGTGCGATGACGGCGTTGCCTATATCACAAACAAGAGGGTTAGCGATTTCACCTGTGCTTCTTGTTCTTCCTTCCCTTCCTTTTCCGTTTCTTTTTTTCCTCAGCCCTGCTTCCCCATCGCCCTTTCCGTCATTCGTCTTCAGGAGGAAGAAACGAGAACAGAATCATAGTAGCTGGTCTCAAGCTACCTCTTCGGTCGATATCCTGACTTTTTTCAGATTATTTACCTCGCCGCGCGGCCGACGGCAACATTTCATTCTTTCTCAGCCTTCATACTTGACACATATGACCCGCAGCCACGCGGGGGTGGCTGGCTGGGCTTTGGAGCCTGGAGGTGGAAGGCAGAGGCGAAACCCAGGCCGGGTGGAGGGATCCCAGGCGGCATTCCCAGGATCGAACTTACCCTGATCTTCAACCATGGTGGTATTGATGCATACCACAGCAAGTACTCTCTGATGTATGAGCGACTCAACCATGCTCGGGACGTCGGTAGGGAGACGGGAGCGCGTATCACTGTCCATGACGATGATTTGCCTCCCTATACGCCAGCGGGAGCTGGGGCTGCGCCGGCTCAGTCGCCATCGGAGCCGCCATCAACAGAGGCGCCTGCGCAGGCCCAGAGGCAGCAGTCGCAGCCAACGCCGGCCGAGCCACCTCCTGGGTACGATGAGGCGCAGGCTCAAGCTGTGGAACAACAGTTCGATGAACGGGACAGGCAGGACGCCGAGAGGGCTCAGTGATGCAGAGCCTTGTCCCCCCCCCCCCCCAAACACCCCACATCTCTTGTCTCTACCTGCAAGAAGTCGGTCATTTGGCAAGACTCGGAGAAGGCGCCTTCTAGGGGCGAATCGCATCTCTTTTCGGAATCATAACTGATGTGGAGGGTATCCAATCGGCCATAGCCCCGTCCCTCGTGAATATGTCATCTGGGAACGAACGTATGCATGCACACACGCCACAGGTCTGGCATGTCGCACCTCGGTTGTACGGCTGTAGGTTAGGGTGGGGCTCCACAGAGACTCGCTCCCTGCAGAAGCACTTGAGCACTAAGTACATTTCTCCTCTGCGCAGACGACAGTATGCGCTGAATGGGAGAGAGCTGGAGATCTCCAACGGCATAGCCGGCATGAACATGCTTTCTCACGCTCGGAAAAAAAAACAATGAATCAATGTAACGTGTTTCAGGTTTGTCAAGAAACAACTTCCAATTCATTCACTACCGCCAATAATTTTTATTCTTCCCACACCTCCGAAGGTGATTGATCATTTTTGTGCGCGTGCCAGCCGATCAATACTCAGCCCCATGTGTGGCCAAAGGAGCGAATGTTCGTCGATTTTTTTCTTCCCTTTTTTCCCCTTGCCCTTTCCCCCTCCTTTCTTCTTTGGGGCTGGCCTCTCTTTCCTACCACGCCTTCTCGAGGAGATCGACACCGGTTCTGACTCGAGGCTGCAAAGTCAATTCAACATCAAGGAGCAATTGGTCCAGTGGACAGCAGTATATCAGTATTTCCTTCTGCATTTTGGGCCAAGTGCTCACACCCATCTGAGTGCTCAGAGGGAAGCTCCGGGCATAATGGAGGCCGAAACCTTGCAGCCATTGTTTTAGTCTCTGCTGCATACTTTGCTTTTTGAGGTTTGGAACCTCTCTTGGGGTACTTGCCGCCACGCTCATAATTTGCAAACCCATGTCTCATCCCCCAATATTTGCCGGCCTCCGTGCCAGTGGCAGATGGCTCCCTTGCCTGTGACGTTCTCACATCGTACTTGATATTCACAGGATTAGGGAATGCCTGAGCATAATTGGCTGCCTTGCCTCCTACTCCCCGGGGATGTACCTCCGGTCAAGTTTACCGCTGCTGCCACCACCATGAAGCTAGTGTCTAGATGACATGGAAAAAGAAGCCTGCCATGACAAATTTGAACAATGTGAGGTTGGTTTCGCACTGAGCCCTGCGAAGCCCGATCTTGTGCACATGTCTTTTTTTCTTCTCTTTTTTCTTTCTTTCCTTCACTTCCTTTCCTCTCATCGACAGTCCCGGCGAGCCAGTCAGCCATCCGTTCATCTACCCTCCCATCCGCAGCGAGCCTGTGGTTCCGGAGAAGCAATCGAAGTGATGCCAGTCCTCCCGGTCTTCTCAAAAGCGCCAAACTTGGTTTTTCCCTTGAGGCGGCCTCATCAATATGCTTGCGCCTACGCCGTCCCACACCTCTCGCACGCTCATCGCGTTCATGTTTGGATTCTCGACGGCATGTGCTGCGTTCACAGGTGCCAGAATTGTCCAGCAGATATACCGAACATGGAGCAAATCCAGGAACATCTTCGCTCATCCCTACATCGTGATGATCGCGGCAGAGTGGCTGTCTAGTGTGGTCATTTCCATCATCACCTTTCTGTTTATTGATGGCGTGATACCCCCAGGGTTCGTTCTCTCCTCTCTCTCTCTTCCACTCTTTTCACACTTGACGCCTGCCGTCGATGCTCTCAGTGACCATCTTCTAACGTTGTGTCGATAGATTTGGGATATTCTTTAGCATATGTAATGTCGTCTCCTTGCCAAGAACCCCCCCCCCCCCACTTTCCACCGCCCTGGCCGTGTGGAATCACATGCTTACTATCACGCGGCTCTCCTTCGCCCACAGTATGTCTCTGGGTCGTACAGGTCCGTCCACGCCAGATATCGGAGCCCTCACTTCACCAGGCAGTTGGCAACTGACCCGGAAGCAGATACAATGCATCATGCACATCATCATCAACCGCATCGCCCTGATCATGTACGACCAGAAGCGGGTGAGGAGGCTGAAGTGGGCAGCGACTTTGTTGATTGGAGCCATCAACGTCAGCGTCTTCATCATCTGGATGCCTGCTCGCCTACAGATCAGCCCGGGCTGGGAGAACCTCAACGATGTCTGGGACCGCATTGAGAAGGGCATCTTCGCCATCCTGGACCTGCTCCTCAACCTGTACTTCATCTACCTTGTCAGGAAGGAGTTGATCACCTGTGGGTTGACCAAGTTTCAACATCTGTACCGCTTCAATATCGGCATGATTTTCATCTCGATATCACTTGATGTGAGCAAACAACCCGTCCCCTGCACTGCCTCCATCAAGTGTACGGTTCTCCAACTAAATATGGTCAGGTCGTCCTCATCGGCATCATGTCCATACCCAACCAGTCCACATTCCTGTAAGGTTGAGACAAGGTCTCGTCCAGCTCCCAGAAGGGAACCCCTTCTCTCCCCCCTCCTCAAAAAAAAGACATCCTTGTGTGGTTCACGATCGCCTGACCAGCCACAGCTACGTCCAGTTCCATCCCCTTATGTACCTCATCAAGCTCCACATCGAGATGAACATGGCTGAGCTCATCTTAAAGATCGTCAATGCCCAGTCGTCGGTCCCGGGCGACGAGCTCTACTGCTACGCCGACGCCAATTCTTCAAACAGACTACCAAAGTCGTCTAGAGCACGCAACGAGTCAGGTACATCTAGGAGATCCGCGGAAATCTCGAGCGGGCCGCCTCGCCCACAGACGCCAGCGGATGTAGATGTGACTGATGTAGCCAACCGGAAGAACCCGAGTATGGCGGAAGAGGGCGATGCTGGCTTGGTGGTCCCAATCTGTATGAGGCCAGGATTTTATGATGATATTAGTGAAGTGACAGGGCTGGAGGTGGCCCTTGGATGTTCGAACGCTGAGAGTAGGGAGAGATGACACGGTATAGTGATCAAGCAATTACCATCATCGAGCCGTGCCGTATGTGCGAAGCAACACAAAAATTGCTTGCCCCAAGAGAGGAAAGAAGCACGCTGTAACACCTCCAGAGACCGTGAAAGCCTTGCAGGTAATGCTTTCCCTTGCAGCTGTTCGTCTGTAGTTGTTCCATCTTTGCTAAGCAAGATGCTGAGGCTATGTCGAGATTGGGGAGCGAGCAAGGTTGCTGGTAAATGGACATGGTGACACTGGACAGCGTTCACAGCGCGACCACATTTCGATGTTTCGATATATATGTCTGATGTCTTAGATGACTTGCTCCAACAACAGTTCTGAAGCCTCTTCTCCTTGGCGAGGCAACGACTATTTGCTGTTGTGGGCGAGGTGCAAGGTTCGTCGTGGCCATGGCGGGAAACAACGACCGCGGCAGGTGCAGTGCGGCGACGTCCTGCCTGTTCAGGGTTAGGGTTATCAGGAACCAATCAGATTGTCTCAATTAGCTACCCGGTTTTTCCCAGGGCTCGACGGACGAGCTTTCACGATCTCATTCCGACCTTCCGTTGCAGTGTCGACGACATCACTCCACCCACACCCATTCTCCATCCGCCTCACGTACGCGAGCCGTTGCGGATCGAAAGCCAGCTCCTCTCCCCAAAGTTAGCTAGCCATCGACGGTTGAGACACAGTCGCAATGGGTTTCTGGGACACCATCACCGACCTGGTCGACGCTGCCACGCCATGGAGCGTCGCTGATGCTGAGGCCCCCGAGGCAGAGTCCAAGGTGCGTCGCGACTATCACGGGCCACGGCCCAAGCCTTCCTGTCTCCTACCAACCCCTCCCCCTCCCCCTCCCCGCCCTTCGCGAATTATCCATCTACACATAAAACGGTTTGGAGCTTGAGCGCCGCGACTTCCAACTGTCGAGCTGTAACTGACCTGCGCTCTTTTTTCTCTTTCTTTTGCACAGTCCGACGACGCCCCTGCTGATGACACCAAGGACGAGGGCAAGGAGGAGACCGCCAGCAGCGACGACTCCGAGGAGAAGCCTGCCGAGGAAGATTCCGAGGAGGAAGAGGCAGGGGAGGAGGAGGAGGAAGAGGAAGAGGAGGACGACGATGAGCCAAAGGACCCAAAGGAGGAGCTCGAAGAACGTCAGTCACCACGCCTCAGGCCAACCTACTTGTCCCCCGAAACCTGAGCATCATCGATACCCCCTTTCCATGTCTGTCTCGCCAACGACGGCCGCTTTCGACTCTCTGGGTCAAATTTGATTGTGAAGCGACTGGTTGTCGTGGCTGCCGCCGCTGCCAGAGGCAGACACACCTTCTACGACTTCGGCTACAATTTGAGAATATGAACAGAAGATCAATTGGCTGACGAGATCTACAATTACAGAGTGCAAGGAGTCAAAGCAGTGCGCACCTGCCAAGCACCACTACGACGAGTGCGTCGAGCGTGTCACCGGCCAGGAGGAGAACGGTGGTGCCAAGGAGGACTGCGTTGAGGAGTGTAAGTCGGAAGCTGTCCCTGCGCTGCGACCATTTTCCCTTCAGCATCCACCAAGCCCTGCCATGCTCGCGCATCGTGCGCCAAGTCACAATGTGACGAACGCTAATAACTGCAAACACAGTCTTCCACCTCGCCCACTGCGCGACCCAATGTGCCGCCCCCAAGCTGTGGTCTGTCCTGAAATAGACTATCCGACATTCCAACCCAGCATAACGAGCGGTGGACGTTCTCAACTGCCACTTCATCTCGTTTCGATTCTCGCGTGTGGAGGAAGACATCGGTATATTGTCTCTATATTGTACTTGGCGCGGACCTAGAAACGAGTTGCATCCCCATAGAAGAAAGAAAAAAGAAGTTGATTGTGTTAAAAGAAACCCACTGCACATGGATTTCACAGTGGGGAAAAGGTGTCTGTGTGCCTCCTTGCGCCGCCTCCGGCCCTTGGGTATGCGACATGTGACAAGCTATGCGCATCTATGCGCACATGGTGCATGAAGAGGTGACTTGGGCTGACGAAGAGAGGTGCAACACCAAGTCCCTGTGACATTGCATCTTGACTGGTGATGGCAGTGCATCTTCACCCCATCTGTCTGTCTATTTGTTGGGTTATACGTGTATGATAAGAGGCCGAAAAATATTTACATTTGGATATTCCTGACCGCATTGTTTGTGAAACCCCTAACCCTCTGAGCTTTTTGGCAATGCGATCCATCCTTTCAAGGCCCACGAAGACATGGTTCCTCTCATACTTATAACATGAACATATAGATTTAATTGCCCCGTTCAAGCTTCATTCTTGATAAGAGGATGAAGATACGTTCGAGAAGACGCCTGCACCAGAACCTCGCTTTCTGTTGGTTCCCAGATGCGGATACCAGTCCTCCCACGGGTATATCTCGACCTCGCCCTCCTCATCTTGACAATTCTCATATAGAGCGGCTGCGGAAATGGCGCTCAATGCTCCTCCTCTGGTACAAGCCCAACATGAATGTGCAGTGGCTCAGACTCGCCATCGTCCTGCATCCTCTTGAAGAACGCAAACTCTTCAATTACACATTTCATCCCTCCCCTCGAAAGCAGTAAATCGACTACATTCAGATGCTGATAGACCAAGGCCAGGACGAGCGGTGTCGCGGAGTCGCCGTCCCTCTTGTCAATGTCGGCACCATGAGGATGGTCAAGTAGGATGCGCGCGAAACCTGAGAGACTGTTCCGGGCTGCGGCGTGGCGAAGGAGATCGTCGTCGTCGACCTTGGCTCCTGCCTTTAGGGTGATCTTGAAGCTCTCCTTGTAGTCTTTGGACATAGCCACGGCTAAGAGCGTGAAGCTTCCGCAGCCAAAGTTCCGCTCGCTGATTCACGTCGCCGACGCATTCCCACTGATCAGTGTCTCGACCATGTCTGGATGATCCTCATCAGACAATATGAGACAGAAGCGTAGGGGGTGGGTATCCCTGTGCAATTTTTGCATTAGGATTGACGCCAGCCATTCAGCCACCTGACTCTTGAGACTGGATCCTCCCAGCGTCCTGTTCTTTTTCGGAATCGAGACTAAAAGGCATCTTGTGCAGGAATATCAGAACCTGAAGCTGTATCTGGGCGCATTCGTGACGTCGCATTGTATGTCTTCTTGCCATTTCTTCAACTCAAGGTAGCCACCTCGCCGGATCCCAGGAGGTACTTGTAAGGCAGATAGCGAAATGCTGATGAGATCCAGAGCAGTAGGTTGAGGAGGGGTTGCAAGAATGCGCTCACATGCATCTCCAGGCGGCAACAGCCCGGTTATGTTATTGGTATTCTCGCCAATATTGACATTGAAGCCTTTTTTGGCCAGCGAAACTAAACTATCTCAGCATGACCATTAGCACACGCGATATGCAGTATCATATATGCCCCCCACCGCTCCCTCTCGAATCCCTCAAGAGAAGGTGCCAGACGCAGCAGGCACTTCATCAATTCGAGATCATGGGGCTGGTCGGCCCGTGCTATGGACCTCGGAGCTTTGCACAATACAGAGACCCAGAGTCATGGATGTAGAAGTGCTCGACTCAGTGAGCAAGAATCTCGAGGGATTAAGGAGAACTGCGTCAATATCATAGTCTTAGCTCTGCATATGCTCAAAGAATAGCCGGATACAGACTGCATTGGGGTGTTAAGGGCTATAGCCAGAGGGAAGAGTCATCAGCAGCGACATATATCAGATCAGCACCCCACTCCAGGAGAGTCTGGACAACTTGCTCCCACACGGTGTCAAACTCACTGCTATGCATGGCTCGTCCCTCACGATCCATTTCACCAGCGGTTATGATGTTCACGAGAAGTGTTCAGAGCGATGAGCTCATCAGCTCCCATTGCTTTGTACTAAACGAGTCTCGCATGATGGCGCAACATAGAGGCGAGCAGGCTTCTGGTGATTCGGTCCAAATCTGAGTGGGAGAATTCAGTCTGTCCAACACATCCAGCCTGGCACCTTTCAGGCAGACAACTCTGGCAAGAGGACCAGCAACCGCATCCAGGGACTGCGAAAGCTGGTGGAGCAGGCTCGGTATTATCCCCTCGAAGTCGCGAGGACTAGCAAGGGCTTGAGAAACCTGCTCGGTGGTGCCAAATACCAAATCTTTCGAGGTTATGATATCAGAATGTGATACTAGCTCCTGTTGCTTATATACGGCGAGTATTAAGGCCATGAAAGGAAGATCGTGGGCTTGCAAGGGTGACTCTCTCGTTCCGAGGCTCTCGTATGCTGGATATCTCTGTCTGGTCATTCTGCGGACCATGGTGTATTGGGATGGCCAATAGGTGCGCAAACTTTCACGGCCAGTCTCGAACGCGCCAGTTCTAGATATGAGAGGAATACTCGCCAGAGAAGTTGCGATTCCGCATGCGTTTGGCAGAACATCGAGGTGAAAAGACAGATAGCTTTAGTGCTTCCATCCATGGTGGAGGCTCGCAAGTTCTCAACTGCCTGTTCCCTGTCGAAGAAATAGCAAGAGCAACCTCACTAGGGATAAGTTGGCCTTGGCTTGCATCTCGTTAAATCATGTGGCTCCGTTCTCTTTGTTTGCGCCGCCAAAAATCTCTATAATATCTGAGCTGTTCGCTTATATGGCCCATCTGATCTAGATAGGTCGTGAGAGAAGCTAGAATATCTGGGAGGCAGATCGGAAGATCGTCCACCTCCAAAGGTTCCCTCAAAGCCTCAGAGCAGGCCTGGGACAGCTCTTCGAGACTGATGATGACCTGCTGCTCAAGGATGTGGACATGTTCTCTGGACGCCATCCAAGAGGAAGGCTGTGCTTCCATAATTGCGAATCATAAACTGGGACAAGCTAATCAGTAGGTCAGGGTGCAGTGGTACCTACAGGACGTTTGGATGCTGTTGCGGCATCCGCCTTCTCTTCCCTAGCGATTTTGTCAGTGCCATGTCTAGTGGCAAGTATGCGGTCAGGAAATTCGATTCCGATAGCGTAACTCCAAAGCTGCCTCCTGAACTGGCACAAAGGCTACTCACGACGAGACCATATGCCTAGACATCTGCCTTACACCAATCAACATCTGGGTCCTGGTTGAGTACTTCTGGAGCACACCAACATGGACTAAAATGTACAGGTCTTCCGACTCCCAGGTTGACTGCCTGAGCACTGCCCCCGAAATCAGCCAGCTTAACCACGATACCATCTCGGCGTAGGTCAGCGTAGCATATGAAGATCAACGTTCCACACAAGTCAAGCGGAATCAAGCGGCTTGACAAGCGAAGTTGACGGTTTGGCGATGGTCTTCAAGACAAGTAAGCGGCCTTTTTGACCAAGCGGCTTGCAAGCGAACAAGCGAATTGCCTCAGTCCTATTGTGGGTCCTTATAGGCTCAGTTGAAGCTATCGTGGCCCACTCTGGATGCAACCTTGCTGGGGTTTTTGGTGTTTTGGCCTGGGCTTTTGCCCTGGCCCTTGGCTATTCGGCCTATATATCCGTATTTGGTCTTTTCCTCAGCTGGCAGGCAAGCTCTTCTGTTATACCTGTATCTCTTCTACCCTTGTACTTGGCATCCTCGCGTTTGCTTCCTCGCGTCTCGCACCTGGGTGTCCCCGCGTTTATCTATCATCGCTTTCCTTTCACTATCATGGCTAATAGCAATGCTTTCAACCAGCTTAGCCACGCGAGATATACCTCTATCCAGAAGCAGATCGATGCCCACGATGCCACAGCACAGTTCTCTCTTGGTACCCTCAAAGACCTCTCACGCATTAAGGTTCCAGGACGATCCCATGCCTTTGTCCCAGCTCGCTGGATGCCAACATCATCGGCCAAGAGGAAGCGCCACGGGTCTGATATCTGGCATTTCGGCGAGAAGCTCTTCGAGGTCATCGTACAGGCTGACGGCACATGCAAAGTTGCAGCGGATTGGTGGTTCTGTCGCCTCTGCGATCAAAATAATCGCAGACCTTATATACCACGCGTAACAGTATCTCGACAAGCACATCAGCAGCTCTAAAGCATCTCGAAGGTCGCGATAATGAGGGCCATAACCTTGGCAAGCTGAAAGAGCTTGTTGCAGAGGCAGAGAAAGAGGAGGTTAGCCCAGAGGAGCTTGGCCAGCGAAAGCGGCGAAGAATAAACCATCGTGGCCTTTTCAACAACAGCAGTCTATATACAGCCCCTGATGCCTTGAAAGACGCTGCCAACGCTCCAAGTCGTGCAGTTGTTAGTCTCGCGAAGAAAGCTATAACAGAGCTGGTTGCTTGTTGCGATATACCTCTTTCAACTCTCGAGGCGCCTCAGTTCCGCTAGCTGTTGATGGTCTGGAATAGCACTCTGACGGAGCACTTTTTCCCTCCGAAGTGATGGCACAGTGATGAGATGGCTGTTTGAGGCGTTTCACGAGAACTTAGCTGGTCTTCAGCTTCAGCTCCAGCGCGAGGCTATCTCGAAGATTCATCTATCTGCTGATCTCTGGACCTCGCCTAACCACAAAGGCATTCTAGCAGTGGTTGCGCATTTTGTTGATAGCGATGCAAAGCTGCGAAATCGCCTTATAGCAGTGAGGATGATCAACGGCCAGCATACTAGCGAGAACCTCCAGTGGCATCTCCATCAGGTTATTATGGCTTTTCAGCTTGAGAAGCGGCTCGGCTGGCTTACTTTTGATAACGACAGCACGAACGACAAGGCAACAAGGCTTCTTTTTCGCAAGATGTACGGCTTCAATCATCGTGAAGCTGAGAAGCTGCGGATTGAACGGCGATGCCGCTGCTGGGGCCATATTATTAACCTTATTATCAAAGGCTTCCTCTCTAGTAATGCTAAACAGATACTCGAGGCTGAAAACAGCGATGCTGATGAGGTAAGTCGAGCTGTTTTGTATCTTCCTGGCTTATTGCTAATATTTAAGCAGGAACTCGAGCAACAGAGGAATCAGTGGGATCAGTGGCAGCGAGAAGGACCTATACGCCGCGCTCATCTTATTGTAGTCTTCCTCAAGGCAAGTGTACAGCGGGTCCAGGACTTCGAGAAGATTGTTCAGAACTCTTTGTTTTCCCCAGAGGACCAAGATCTCGAGGATACTACAGCCTTTTTGGCAGAGGCCCTTCCTCAGCCAACAGCACAAGACCTCACGATGCCACCACCACCGCTTCCTACAGACCCTACAGATGAGCAAACTGGCGATATATCTACCTTGCGGCCAGTGGTAGCTCAGGAGACGCAATAGAACTCAACAGAAGCTGAGATATCGCGGCGGCTGAGGCTGAAAAGACCTATTGATTTCTGGGTTAAAGAGCAAGTTCGAAGCGGTGCTAAAATACAACCTTTGAGTGAGCAGGACTAGCGCTTGAGGCAACTCGAGATCTTTTGCAGCCATTCCTATGGCATACAAAACACTACGAGGGGAACGCTGTAGCTGTTCATGATGTCCTCAGTTCTTTGTGGGGTCTCGAGAAGCATTTGCAGTCCTTTCAGGAGAGATTTGGAGGCAGAAAAACGTATGCTGAAGAAGAAATCCTTGAAGAGATTAAGTTAAAGGGGGTAACCTCCGGCCACACCAACTTCCGGCCACCCCGGCCGACCCCCCGGCCTCTCCAGCCACCTCTTTTTTTCAATATCTTTTCTCAACCAATTTTACTCTGATCAACTTCATATCTTCACAGGACCTTTATACGTATATCATGAAGCCCTATACCGAATTTGAGCTGGCCCAGGCCCTCGAGGCTGTCAGAAAGGGTGTATCTCAGCGACAGGCCTCGAAACAGTGGGGTGTACCACGAGCTACTCTTCAGGACCGCCTAGCAGGAGGAGAATCGCATTCAACAGCCTATCAACATAAGCAAAGGCTTTCTGTTAGCCAGGAGAGGAAATTGGCTGAATGGATTCGCATTCAGGAAGCCATGGGGCTTCCACCAAGCCACTCAGAGCTTAGGCACTTTGCTCAACGAATCCTCGAGGTCAGAGGAGACCCTCAAACGCTAGGAAGGAAGTGGGCAAAAGCTTTTTTGAAGAGAAATCCAGATATTCAGGTTCGCAAGAGTCAAAGGATTGCCTCAGCTCGAACTAACGGAGCAACAACAGAGGTAATACAGCCTTGGTTTCGTCTTTTCGATCTTCCTCAAGTTCAAGCTATCAAACCAGCTAATCGATGGAATATGGACGAAGCTGGAATAGCTGAAGGCCAAGGAGCGAACGGATTAGTCCTTAGTAGCTGTTCTTCACGTTCAATCCATCGAAAAGAGCCTGGGTCGAGGTTCTGAACCTCGATCCTCGAGTGTATCTCTGCTACAGGTGCCTATCTCTTCCCTCTGGTGATTTTCAAGGGGCAAACAGTACAATAACAGTGGTTTCCTCTCTTCTTGGAGTATTTCGATAGCTAGCAGTTTACAGCAACAAGGAACGGATGGACTGATAACGCTATGGCACTCGAATGGCTGAAGAAGATCTTCATTCCAGCCAGCCAGCCAGCAGACCCCTCAGAGACCAGACTATTAGTCCTGGATAGCTACAGCAGCCATATAACTGACGAGTTTATGTAGCAATGCTATCAAAACAACCTCCTGCTGATTTACTTGCCTCCTCATATCTCTCACGTACTTCAACCCCTCGATCTAGGGGTCTTTTCAGCTCTCAAGAAGGCATACAGACGAAAAGTCAGTTATATCAGCCAATGGGGAGATTCAACAGTCTTTGGCAAGCGTTTATTCCTCGAGAACTATTACAAAGCCCGTACGGAAGGTCTTTCTAGCGAGAATATCAAGTCTGGATGGAAAGCTAGTGGTTTATAGCCTGTTAGACCCTCCAAGCCGCTCTTGAGCCCTCTTCTCCTCGAGAACACTCCTCAGCATATTCAGAATCAGTCAAATTCGAGTTCAAGAGTACCAACAGCAGCCCAGCATACCCAGAAAGCCTTCTCAAGCCAGCTAGCTATCTTTTCAACTCCTTGCAAGGCCAAAGATCTATACCATCAGCTACAGAAGAATCGGCACCAGCTTTCATCCAAGGCAGCGCAACGTATACTCTTTAGGAAGATACAAAAAGCGTTTGACGAGAGGTACCTCGAGTTTGCAAAGGCTCTGGAGAGGAACGAGGTCCTGGAAAGGCAAATGGAAGCCAAAAGGCCTACTAAAAGAAGGAAGGTTGATTTGAGCCCGAACTCGAGGTTTGCAGACATTGAGGATATACAGAGGGCTCAAAAAGCGGCTGATAGAGACGAAGATAGTCTAGACGAAGAGAACAGTATCGAATTACCTACTGATGAGGAGGACTGCATCGTGGTGAGTGAATAGGATGAAGAATGTATATAAAACAATATATATGTGGGTGGGTGGTAAGGCGGGCCGGGGTGGCCGGAAGTTGGTGTGGCCGGAGGTTACCCCCTTTAACTTATTGTCTCGCCAAATGCAGAGAAACCAGCCCTCCAGCGGCCCTCATCGCGATATCAGGCCCCTTCAAGACCTTCCTCTCGGCCCTCGCCTCGACCCTCGCCTCGACCCTCCCCTCGACTTTACTCTCGGCCCTCCTCTCAGCGTTCCTCTCGGCCCTCCCCTCGACCCTCCCCTCGATCCTCCCCTCGCCGTCGAGCTTCACAGTCTTCAGATATATTTCCCAGCACTCCAGTGCGGGAATGGCCAGATGTTGGCTCTCAAAAAGAGGCTGAGATATACCCCGAGGCATGTGGGCTTGAAGGTGCTGAGTTTCTGAGAGAATCAGTGGCCCAAGCGTTGGCAATTCTCAAGCGATATAAGAGCAAGCTTCGCGAATGCCCTATATATTTTGCTTCTGCTGTTTTGCATCCGGAATATCGCCTGGATGGTATTCGTACAGCAGCGCCAGCTATTGCTGACGATGTTGAACAAGAGTTTAAGGCTTTTTACGAGAAATATTGGGCATATAAAGATCCAGCCTTATCATCAGCATCAACACCCAGCTTGCAGGAAGATCAAGAACATAACAAGCCAAAGAGGCAGTGGAGGACCGCCTTCAGGGCACAGCCAAGGCCAAGACATCAACGGCCACAGTCAGAGCTGGAGAAATATCTCCAGCTAGAAGAGGACGACGAGGACGACGATGGTTTTGAGCCCCTCGTCTGGTGGGCAGCGCGTAAGGCCGAGTTTGCAGCCCTCTCACAGATGGCCTTCAACGTCCTATCTATCCCTGCGATGTCGTCCGAATGCGAGAGAGTCTTCAGCCAAGGGAAGCTTACGATGTCCTCGCAGAGGAGAATGAAGAGCAGCACTCTCGAGCTCCTTTTGTGCCTCAAGGACTGGCTGAAAAATGGAACGCTGGCAGGACCAGCAGCAGAGATGAGGAGGAAAGGCATTGCCTAGCAGCTTTTTGCCAAAAAAAGGCATTCGAGGGGGTCAGAAATGTTTCTTTCAGCACTTGAGCGAGGGACCTCGCGCGGATCAGAGCGTAACAAGGAAAACTATCATCATATGCCTCTATACCGGTTGAACCACGTGCGTAGCTCATTTGTTACTCTCACCACCTTTCGTTTCGTATATCTATCGTACATTCCTAATCCGGTATAGTGACCAAGTCACCAAGCGAATCAAGCGGCCAGGTACTACAAGACAAGCAAGCGGCCAAAATAGTTAGCAAGTCAAGTGGAGGGCTACCGCTTGCCTTGACTTGACTTGTGTGGAACGCTGATGAAGATAATATTGTCCGTCTTGAGATTTCTATAGATCACGCCGGCCTGATGCCTAGCACAGAGGCTGATTATAATATTATTCATAATACTTCCTTTTTGCATTTCGGATAGCTCTAGTATGATACATACAACAGTATAAAGGTATCTATGAGCGCCCCTTTCCATAGCAAGCGCAGAGAAAGAGCATTCCTTATGCTGGACAATGAAAAGAATCTATATGATATTGGGGATGATCAATGAGGAGGGGGTGGTAGAAGGCATCAATCTCTCGCAGAATGGAGTAATAGCTGGTCTCCGGCCAGCTCAATCCGGTATGGAGGGTTCGTGTTTCTTAGAGCTAAACACCTTCAGGGCAGCAATGGTTTTGCGGGGCAGGATCTCGACTACCTCATCCTCGGTAATGTACTACACCATTTGCGAAGTCAGGCCACTCCCTAGGGTGAAGAATTGTCTTTCCGACTGACTTGGAGGTGATGCATAAAGTCGGCGCTGGCAATATTTTGCAAGATAGGGTTGCTGGCAAAGGGATGATCATCCCTACTCTTCATGCTGGCAGCTCATGGTCTTGCTGTTCGTAGCTGGGAGGCTGAATCAAGACGATGCGGTCGCTCTATGTCGCTAGTGGAAAAGGGTGTATGATATGAGGGAGCATGGTGGTGATCCATAGTGCTGGCTTCAATTTTCGATTTTAGGGCTTGAGTTAGTGATGAAAATTGCTCAAACAATATCTTTGGAATAGCCCTTTTGGGTCTTCATAGTAATGGTTCTAGGCAAAAGGTATTTGACATTTCAAATATGTCAGCACGAGAGCAGGATGGCACAGCTTGTATCACTCTGTGTCCACTGGTGCTGCAGTGCATAATTATGTGAGTACCAAGTAACTAATTATGCTATTGGTATTCATGACCCAGCACACTCTAACATAGCATTCTTCAACTTCAGCTAGCACTACAGGGAAATCCGGGGCAGCAACTTCACTCAGCTGGTGCACAAACACTATGAGACTCACTGGGCAATGCAACAATATCAAGACATGTAGTCCAGTTGGCATAGCAAAGCTGCATCTCAGCCTCCTCGAGACCAACTAACGCACACTCTACAAAAGCACAAGCATACCATCTTCAGCTAGCAAACCTGACACAGCAGCCTGATTGCACAAATTCTGCAAGCTTTGCAGAAGCTAATGCAACATATGTTTAATTATATTTAAACTGGTTGATGTGGCAAGATATCTCTAGTCTGATATTTAAGGTTCAGTATCACTTGGACGCTAGAAAGTGACTCTTACTATTTGCCTAGTATTACGGAAACAAAATCATGTTAGGCTTGGAGGTATCTGGTTTTGTCTTGCGCATTATCAGTATTGCTGCTGACTTTAAAGAGGCTGTTGACTCAGCACTTTTTATTCGAGTCCTTCTTTGATAACGCGAAGGAAGGCTGCGGATGCATCGTACTCCAATACGATATGGAGAGACTATGACTGAATCTCTAGGGATAACAATATAAGACCAAGCTCAATAGTAATACTAGTAATTGCGCTCTTCGCGATATGCCTGATAATACTAATTATATATTGTACTATATTACCAGCTTGTCTCTTTTTCTGTTTAGCTGCTCGATTTCCTAAGAGATTCGCCTGCTCAACCAGGATAACAGTTCGCCGGCCCTAACATCAGCCAAAACTCGGAAGTATTCAGGTTCCGCAAGAAACCCAAGTCGACCATGCTCGGGTCATGTTAGCCCAAGCAAAACGCCTCGATCTGCAACTTTACTAACTGAATCCTCTAGATCCGACGACTAAGCCTTCTGTGACACGCCTCACCCAGAACTAAATAAAGCTCTTCCCGAAGGCCGAATTGCTTAGCATCTTCAGATCAGATAACAGCCGCCAACCCTGCAAGATATGTGTTATGACCCACCCAGCTTGCAGGTTACAAAACAGGCTCCAGCAACACAAACCAAGCATTAAGACACCACAACGAACAACCAACCAGGCTTATATTGTTGTGGTGGCCAGGGTGGTAGTCCGTGGGACATGGAGTACAGTGGGTCAAGGGTCCTCATACATATAAAGGATACCACCTACTTTTCAAATTCTTTAGCTATAGGAAACAATGAAGCATCCTTTCTCTTCTTTTCAATTTTGAACTCTTTGAACAGGTTTAAGACAGGTTTTTCACCCTGTTCTTGCGCCTATATAGCCTTAGTTTGCTGTTCTCATCTATATAAGCATACTTGGATTGTACGAGCTCTTGCTTATTGCTTCAGTAGTTGTTTGTTCCTTTTTCTTTCGAGAGCGATAGCGCTCTAGTTCTAGTTTAATAATGCAGTATATGCAGATTTAGCTGTTCAAGCTGGTAGCTCAGAGCTGTTTGTATTATAGTTTATAAGAATTAGTAAGAGCAGCAAGTTTATTTTATGAATAAGTGCACTCTTTTTTCCTGCTGAGCTCTTTTATTTTCTTTATCTATTATGCTTATATAATAAGCTATATATTATGTTTGAATTCTGAGTTATGCTTGAAACTTTTTGTAGAAAGGAAATAAGTAAATAGAGAAGGAGTAGTATAAGTTCTGATTATAAGCTAATAAACGATATATTAAGCTTGTAAGCTAATATTATAAAGAAATGAATTTCTTTTTCTTATATCAATCAATAATTCTATACAGAAGCTGATATAGCTCAGATCTGTATAAGCTGCAGCAGAAAGTTTAATTATATTGAATATAGATTCATGATTAAATTATAGAATAAAATGCTTTTAATAAATAATACTTTATAAAGAAAAATAGCATGATTAATAAGATCTATGCTTCTTGCAATAGTTTGATTAGTATGCTTAATCTGAATATATTTAGCTATATTAATTCTTTAAATCAAAAGCTTGCTAATTATATTATTTTAAAAGCAAAGAATATAGAGAAGTAAAAATAAGAAACTATTAGTATATATAAGAAATAGAGATTAAGAATTATAATAATATTATTTAATATCGAATTTTAATTAATATTTTATATCTAATTAGAAATATTTCTATTAATTAGCAGAACTATTAATAAAGAAAATTCTAGTATAATATAGAATAGCTAATTTAATTTCTTATTATTCATTATAAGATAAATCTTATATATACTCTATTTATAAACTAAATCTTCTTTAAGTATCTAAACTCTTTCAATCTTTATAGTATTATCTTTTATAGGATATAAAAAGCATTCTAGCTATAGCACTCTTAATTTAAAAATCTCAAATTAGAAAAGCAAAGAAACATTAAAGAAAGCAATAATCAAGAGAGAAAATAGCTTCTATATCTGAAAGCTCTTCTAATTAAATACTTAGTTCAGCTAACTACTTAGCTAATAATTACTATAGTTAGAACTTTAGATTTCTCTTCTATAATAAGCTTACTAATAATAGATTAATATTATTTGCTTATATAGAAATCTTCTTATAGCTAAAGCAATTCAATTAATAGTATTAGATTAAAGAAATTAATAATATTTAAGTATTTAATTTCATGAAAAGCTTTTATATAGATATAATCATTGCTAAAGAAGTAAAGAGATTTATTATAAGCGCTAAAACTTGAAATGAATAGAAGAAGCAATTATTAGTTGCTTATTGCTCTTAGAATTATCTTTAAATATATATTCTTAAGCAGGAATATGTCAGGTGGAAAGGTTGCAAAGGCAATGTGGCGAGGTCTTTTCTCTCTTTCAGGGGTATACAACCAGAATAACATTGAGGCCTAAGGAGCTAAGTTCTGCTCAGCAGTGCTGACGTGGCTAGAAAGCCGCTTTATAGCCGCATATTGCTTAGTCATCCGTAATCCAGCTGGCTTAGCTAGCCCTGAGCCTTGCTGGCACAATCAGCCCTGACAGATTGTCCTCCCTTATCAGGCCTTGTCCTCAAGGCCTTTGAGGCTTCCGAGCTTTCGTTGCTTTCAGGCTTCCGTTGCTCCCAGGCTTCCGTTGCTCCCAGGCTTCCATTACTTCCAGGCTTTCGCTGCTTCCTAGCTGCTCCTACGCTTTCTCAATGCTTCAGGCTCTTAAGATCTCTCAGTGCTTCAGGCTTCTCAAAGCTTCTCAAGATCTCTCAGTGCCTCAGATTTCTCAAAGCCTCTCAAGATCTCTCAGTGCCTCAGGCTTCTCAAGGCCTTTCAAGATCTCTCAGTGCCTCAGGCTTCTAGGCCACTCAAGGTCTCTCAAGGTCTCTCAGTGCCTCAGGCCTCTCAAGATCTCTCAGTGCTTCAGGTTTCTCAAAGCCTCTCAAGATCTCTCAGTGCTTCAAGCCTCTCAAGGCCTCTCAAGGTCTCTCAGTGCCTCAGGCCTCTCAAGGCCTCTCAAGGTCTCTCAGTGCCTTAGGCTTCTCAAGGCTTCTTAAGATCTCTCAGTGCCTCAGGCTTCTAAGCCACTCAAGGTCTCTCAAGATCTCTCAGTGCCTCAGGCCTCTCAAGGCTTCTCAAAGTCTCTCAGTGCCTCAGGCCTCTCAAGGCTTCTTAAGATCTCTCAGTGCTTCAAGCTTCTAAGCCACTCAAGGTCTCTCAAGATCTCTCAGTGCCTCAGGCCTCTCAAAGCCTCTCAAGATCTCTCAGTG